TCGTGAAAGTGCGACACTGTCGAACGCGAAGATTCCCCATCTTCAAGACATTCTGGAAACCTGAGCCTGATGTCAAAATTAAGCGAACAGGTTTGGGGGCAAAGAAGCCTCTTACAGAGCGCCCGCTTTCCTGGGCCTCAACGACCTCAAAAGATGGCAAGGTTGATGTCAAGAAAGGTCCTGAAACATCAACTTATGAAGTCAAGGTCATCGCCAAACAACCGTCACTTGTCATTGAATCTATGTCTCTATCGCAGTCGGCGATGATGGTACTTGAAGGCGAAGTTAAAACCTTCACTGTTACACTTCAAAATGCCTCTTCGTGCCCCGTGGACTTTGTCTTATTCACCTTCCAAGATTCAACCACCAGACAGTTACAGTCTGCACTGAGTAACAAGGATCTATTGCCGGTCGAGATCTATGAGCTGGAGCTCAAACTAGCAACCAAGCCCGCTTTACGATGGCGCCGCCAGGGCCAGGACCCCAGTGATTGTTCGATTGTAGCGGGCCAGAAGGCAACATTCACCGTTGATGTTCTCGGAAAGCCTGGTTTGCAGGACACAACAGTCCAGATTGACTACTCCTGTGTTGGGGCAACCCCGGGTGAATTGCCCGATATATTCTACACCCGGCAATTGTTTGTACCGTTAACAGTCACGGTCAATGCGAGTGTGGAGGTCGCCCGGTGTGACATCCTTCCGTTTACCGGTGACTTTGCCTGGAAGAACCATATTGAACCCCCCGTCGACTCGATACAAAAGCCGGATGCGCTACTTTCCACCACTGAAAACGACCCCTTCTCGCAAATTCTCGGGCGTCTCGGTAACGGGGTTTATGGACCTGATCACTGTGTCGTTTTGCTTGACCTGCGCAACGCCTGGCCAAGTCCTCTGTCGGTGTGGTTGCGCGTAAGTGAACACATAATGGCAACCCTTCCACCGAAGGAGACGGGCAAGGATTCTCCTGAGGGCAAGTACTCTGTCGATGGGGAGCTCCAGCCCGGCCAGGTTTCTCGGTTTATTCTGGTTTTGCCTCGCGTCTACTTGGATAATCCACATGCCTCTATCCCCGTCGTCAACACCGGTACTCGGAGACAATTCGTCGTCAGCGCCAACAAATTATCCTTTGAAGCCGAGGCGGCCTCGCGCGAAGCCTTCTGGTTCCGGGAAGAGCTCCTCAAGAGAGTTGTCGGAGGCTGGAAGGAGTCTGCCACAGGCCGCGAGGGATCCATTGACCTTCGAAACGTCCGATTGAACAACCGTATGGTCGAAGCCATGCGCCTCGAAGACGTCGAAATGAAATTCTCTCTGACCTTGCCATCATCTTCACCCGAGACGTCTGACGCAGTGGAACAAACGGGCCGCTCACGCTTCCGCGTCAAGACAGACGACCTCCTTACCTTACATGTCACCGTCCACAACCGCTCCTCCCGCCCCATCCACCCCCTCCTCCGTCTTCAACCCAGCCTCCGCCACCAGCCAAATAACATCGCCCTAGATCTAACCCGTCGACTTGTGTGGACCGGAATGCTGCAACAAGCACTCCCCATCCTACCTAGCGGCGAGTCCACCAATGCCTCCATCGGCGTCACGGTTCTCTGCCGCGGCGAATACGAGTTTGGCGCCAGCGTTGAGGAAGCCCGACTTCTGCGTCCGTCTTTCGATGATGGTGAAGACGATGATTCTGCTCCCCGCTACAACGAGGATGGTATCATGGATACTTTTGGTGCGGATGTCGTGCGGCGGCGTCGCATTTGGCATGCAAAGGAATCGTGTATTATCCATGCAAGTGATGCATGATCTTGGTGTTGGGCTCTTCTGATTTGGTCTGTCATTTCAAGAGCATAGACATCCATCTGTCCTAGCTTCTATTTTCTTGTCTTTAGCTTAATTCGATCATGACCATGTAGCATACCCCCCTGTACAAATCTCTGATACAAAGTTTTGCCACTGAATTACAAATATAAGGATGATGTCCAAGGTTCTGATTTGACCAATGCGGGTAGATGCATGTTCGCCACTTTCTATTGGTCCAGAGTATGCTCCACTATCCCCCGGGTTTCCTAAGGTTCAAATGTAATGTCCGTGGGGTAAAAGTAGTAGGGATATAGCAGAGTGTATACATACTACTTTTCACGAAATAGTATTGTTTAGAATTAGTCATACTGATAACATCTAGATACGGGAATCCTAGATAACCCTAGAACTTACTAGATAAGGATAGGAGCCCTCTTCATATCACCTCTGCGGGGCTCTTTATGTAACATGGCAATCGCGGGCTTTTCCCCGCACTTTACTTAAATAGCCCCCATTTCCTTGGGAAATTCATCTTTGACCTCTCTCTCTCTCTCTACTCGCAATCATGGCCCATCTCGTTACGTTAACCTATAAAGGCGATCACAACAAGCCTGATACCATCCATGAAACCCAAAACTTCGTCGACAATGAACTGGTCAGTTCCAAAACAACCAAATGGATCGAGGTCCACGACCCCGCAACAAACAATGTGGTCTCACGAGTCCCCGAAACAACCCTCGACGAGTGCAAAGCCGCAGTGATCTCAGCCCAGAATGCATTCCCCGCTTGGCGAGACACCAGCATCATGAAGCGACAGGAAATGATGTTCAAACTGACCCACCTGGTCCGCGAGAACATGGATTCCCTAGCAATTTCCATCGTCACCGAACAAGGCAAGACCTTCGCTGACGCAAAGGGCGATGTCCTCCGCGGCTTGCAAGTCTGTGAAACAGCCTGCGGAATCACCACCCAGCTTCCCGGTGAGGTTCTCGAGGTAGCGAAGGATATGGAAACCCGTTCCTACCGTCTCCCCCTCGGAGTCGTCGCGGCTATCTGTCCATTCAACTTCCCCGCCATGATCCCTCTCTGGAGTCTCCCCATTGCCATTGTCACGGGTAACTGCTTGATTCTGAAGCCAACCGAGCGCGCCCCCGGTGCCACTATGATCATCGCGGAACTCTGCAAGAAAGCCGGCTTCCCACCTGGTGTTGTCAACGTCATCCATGGTTCCAAGCCGGCTGTTGAATTTATCTTGGACGCGCCGGAGATCAAGGCTATCTCCTTTGTCGGATCGAATAAGGTTGGCGAATATATTTATGAACGTGGCACCGCAAACGGGAAGCGTGTGCAGGCGAATCTGGGAGCTAAGAATCACGCGGCTCTGCTGCCGGATAGTAATAAGAAGCATGCTTTGAGCGCCCTCGCTGGTGCGGCGTTCGGAGCGGCTGGTCAGCGTTGCATGGCGCTCAGCGTTTTGATCACAGTTGGTAAGGCCCGCGAATGGCTTCCTGAATTGATTGAGAATGCCAAGGAATATCAGGCTGGAAGTGGGTTCAATGCCCGCTCTGATCTGGGTCCATTGATCACACCCCAGAGCCGGGATCGCTGTGTGGATCTCATCTCGAGTGCGGAGAAGGAGGGTGCTACTATCGCCTTGGACGGTCGGGACCAGAAGCCTGAGGGCTTCCCTAACGGAAACTGGGTAAGAAAGTCGCTATGTTTACTTCAACTCCCATGAACCACCCTGCTAACACGTCAATTCAATAGGTCGGTCCGACCATTATCACCGGAGTGAAACCCGAAATGAGATGTTACAAAGAGGAGATCTTCGGCCCTGTCTTGCTTTGCGTTGAAGCCAATACCATCAACAGCGCAATTGACTTGATCAACAGCAACGAATGGGGCAACGGCGCAGTCATCTTCACCCAGTCTGGATCTAGCGCAACACACTTCCAGAAGCGCGTAGAGTCCGGACAGGTTGGAATCAACGTTCCCATCCCCGTCCCCCTTCCCATGTTCTCTTTCACCGGCAACAAGCGAAGCGTGGCTGGAACGGGACTGCTTAACTTCTATGGCAAGGACGGTATCCGATTCTATACACAGTGGAAGACTGTCACGTCGCTTTGGAGAACTGAAGATGCTACTGAGCTTGAGAAGCCGACCTCGATGACTTGATTGGTCATGATCACTTGCATATGGCGGACTCGGAAAACATATCTCGGGATTAGGGTGGATCCTTGATAGGCGTAAACATGTCTTGGGCATTTTAGATCATTGCATGAATAAGGGTTTACTGGCAGAAGCTTGCGATGTAATATACCAAAATTGACTAAGATATGTAGGATATGTTTAGGTGTAGGTACATTCATGGATACTGTATTGATATTAACTGATTCAATTACCCTGCTCGGGTGCCTCCCTGATAGCTTCTTGAGGTCAGGTCCCACAAATAATATGTTTGGATGTCATTTTGGATGTCATTTTGGATGTTTTTTCCCTCACTGATATAGCCAGAAGGAGTGTAGATAGATCTTTGACCGTCGACATTAGGATGAATTGTTGAGAAGTCTTGAGCTCGCGACAGAAGAGCAAGAAGTTCCTCATGGTTATTACGATCATCAAAATATGCGGAATGATTATGGCCGGATCAAGTTGGCTTCAATCTGACAGAGGAATCGCCAGTTTTTACGTCGTTTGGTAGGAGCAAATCTGGGATATTGAGTCTGGAATCCCAGCAGCTCAAGTTCCACCTGGACCGTACGTGCTTGCAGGTAGGAAGACTTGGAAGCGATGGAGAATCTACAGCTACTCCAGTGCAACATTACAAATTTGAAGACTGGAGGCTTTATTTACTAGAAATTGTTGGATGATCGCATCTGTCATTGTTTGCCAGGCATCAAGGTATAAATGCCTGGCTTTTTTCTAGATTGAATAACAATGATTCGTCTTTCTCTCCCTCCCTTCGTCGGTAGCCAGAAGGAAATGTCACTGCAATAACGGTCGAGCTCTTGTCTTCTTTCTGTCTCCATACCAATATCGCTCTTAGTTGGTATTCTATATCCCCTCATCTGACATTGAGCGTGATATGATTGGATTTTCAAAATGAAACTAAAACCCTTAGTTCCTTGGCATCTGCACACAGCCGCCCTGTGAGACGACAAAAGCTAAGCGTCGTCGTTATATTATCAACTGTGCCCTGCAATCATGTTTAGCGATCTACCCGCGGAAATACATTATCTAATTGCGCGCTATCTCAAGAGCAAAGATCTTTATCCCCTGGTATGCTCATCACGTCGACTGCACGCCGTATTCAAACGAAGCCTTTACACCGATGTGACTCTGAACGGACGGCAGGCTAAGGACCGAGCAGTCAACATCTTCCTATACGCCGTGACCCGAACCCCGAGGCTGGCTAGCTTTGTTCGGTCCCTGATGGTGAAGGGCTGGGATCCCAGAAGCTCCAATAGAAAGAATCAGCACAGAGTTGAATTTGACAGCAATCTTGTACGCAAACTAGTCTGTGAGAGGACGGGATATTCCGACGAAGAGAGATCTAATTGGTTGAAAGATCTCGAACGGGACAACGAAGATGCATGGCTGGCTCTGCTTATTCTGCAGTTGAGGGGATTGCGGAAACTCGGGCTCATCTGGCCGTACGGCTCATACTATGTTTTGGTTATGTTGCAAAAAGCTGCTATTGGTTCGGAACCGATATTTCCTCATCTCGAGGAAGCGTATGTAGCTTATGCGGATACAGAGGGCTCCTTCTCATCACATTACATGGACGCATTCTTTAAAATCCCGTCAATGCGCAAAGTTAGCTGCTTTATGTTGGGCGAGAATGAGGATGGCGATGATGAAGAGTATATGCCTGGATCAGATGACCCAAGATTTCCGATGCAAGAAATCATCTCGCCACGCTGCTCGAATATAACCGACATCGACCTCGAAGAAAGCAATGCTGCGGAGGGGATGCGGGAATTGGTTCAGGCCTGCAGAGCACTGAAATCATTCCGTATTACCCATGGTGGAGGACAAGTCTCCTATGATATCTATCAGCCGCGGAAAATTTACGAATCGCTTTCGCTCCACAAGTCAACGCTGGAGTCTATTTGGGTCGAGCCTAATGATGCTGAAGATTATGATGATGAATGGATGGGATCTTTTGTTGATTTTACCGCTTTGAAGGTTATTTGTGCTTTCTTTTGCAATCTTGTGGGAAATGATGAGGGATATGATGAGATGCGAAAACTCCGGGATGTTCTTCCGTTCTCGTTAGAGATCTTATATGTTTCTGTCGAGTACGATGAAACTTTCAATATCGCTATTGATCAGTTGGCAGAATTGACTGCCTCAGAGAGCTTCCCTAAATTAGCTACGATACATCTTGAATTTCATGGTCTCAAGATACCGGAGAATGTTGCGAGGTTTGAATGTTTGGAACAAAGGTGTCAAGAGGCTGGTGTTTTGTGTTTTTCTCACATCTCAAAGTGGACAGAGGAGGAGAAGCAAACGATGGGATTATGGCCCGATAACGAAGCCTACTTGCTTGGGTATCGTAATTGGGAATGAATCAAACAACACCTGGGTACAGAAGTCACTGGACCACCTTTTTCTCATCCAATTGGCCATTACGGAATTCTATTCTCGCTCTATCGCCATATCTTTCGATGATATATGATGAGTAGACATACCATCTATATTATATATAACCACAGCACCGCACTATATCAATGAAGGGAGAGTCATTCATGGGGAGTGCCGACTATTGATACTAAAAATCTTGAAGAGTAAGAGTGATATAGACAAAGGAATATAATTCGCAATGTGAAGTGGTAGCACAAATTTGGATATGATATGTTTGATAAAAAGGAACTACCGTGATTTTTTAGACCTTGGTCAAGTACCATTTTATTCTTCCTCTCTCCAACAGCCCGGCCGGGCTAGCTCAATCGGTAGAGCGTAAGACTCTTAATCTTAAGGCTGCGGGTTCGACCCCCGCGTTCGGCTATTCCTAAAAACCAAACCTGAGATTTCTTTTTTGCTTTGAATTTTTTTGCATGGGACGGATTTTTAAGGTCCACTTAGGGCTCGGGTGAAACTTTGAAATCTTGGCGGCTTACATAATAATGAGTATATAATCAATCAACCTTCCGAGGTTCAAGGTTGCATCCATGTTTGCAGTCACACCTGGCTTTAAGATTTTAATCTATTGACGCGTATGGAGTAATCCGTAGTAGATTATGTTTTAACATGTAACCAAATAATTTACATGTAAGCCTCAGTGGGGGTGATATGGAGAAAAGAATGAGCTAGGCGGCAAGTGGGGTCTGGATCTCCATTTCAATTCACTTTCTGGGCTGACAACCTACGTCGACCCCTTATTTTGACTCAACTTAGGCAATACCCCCCAAGCGCAAACCCAGTCAAATGTTACAACCCTCCCAGTCGAGCTGGCATTTTATATCTGTATTTTTCTGCAGCTATCAGAGTTGCCAGCATTCAGATTAGCATATCGCGACTTATACTAAGTCTCGCTTGATACATGCTCGGATCGGTACTTCAAGAGCATTCGCTTTCTTGCGACAAACGATGGCATTCGTAATCTAGAAGATATCACGAAGGTTGAAATTGCCCGCGAACGAGTTCAGGAGGTGTGGATGATACCAACCGTCTTCGAGGGTAGCGATTGACGACACAAAAGGACATTACAGGAATGCCATCAAAAAGCTGCGAAATGTTGCAGTGTAATGAGCTGGAAGCTCGTTTGGCCATATATCGAACTATGGTCACCGACAGTCGCTCTCTCCTTACATCGGAAACATCATTGTGCCAGCCAGCAATGTGGTGGTATTTACGTTGATTAATTGATGGAAATTCTAATGCGGATATAAGAGATGGCTAAAACCGACTCGACATTCACTTCCTGTTCCTTCTCACCCCGGAAGCGGCGCTGTCTCGCCATGTTGTACAACATTAGCCATAGACGAGTGGCGCAAAGCCATCATCATGAGCGTCTGCCCCCCCCCCAAAAATAGAGGTATTATGACCCATCCAACAAAGCTATACCACATAGTAAAGGTTTTCCATCCCCATTGCCCGCCGAACTCCTCATAATCAAATCATAATCGAATAGAATATGTCAAATACCGGAGCCATATACCCCGGTCGGTTACAGTACTAAAACCCCGGATCGGATACAAGGTAAATTTACCTTGGATCTCCACAAACGTTGGTTCCATACAACCGAACAAAGTGCAAGTGATTTAGTCTATTTATACTCGCGCGTTCATACTGTTTTATTGCTAGTCAGAGAGTTCCAATATACTCAGTTCATACCATACATTTCCATACAGTCAGATTTCTGTCAGAAGATTCCAAATCTATGGAGTATGAGTGCTTCATCACGTGCCATGGAGCTGCATACAGATATACAATGCCAAGCTCTCGTAGCGTATTCCGAGTGCGGGTTGAAGCTAGCCTTCCGCATAGCCTAACCGGACCCGAACCCAACCCGGACCCAACCCGTTAGGCTGGGTCCCTAATTAGGTTATAAATAAATGTATCTAGGTATCCCGACTACATAATTTATATAATCCCTTATTATAATTTTAGGTTTTCCTCTTATATACTACCTTTATTCTGAGTCTTATGGATGCGATAAAATTTAAAGATTATTAGAGTGTAAATTTAAGGTAGGAAGGTACTAATTTAGCTAACTAGGCTCGTTAGAAATTATTATTTATGCTTCCGTCCTAGTAAAAATGTATTCCCTTCGCTGCCCTACAAAAGGGGGCTTTGCAGGAGCTTTGCGCTTACTAACAAGGGTGCTTCGCAGGGGAGTGTTGCGACAATAAGGCCTCCAACGATTTGCAGGAACCTATTCCCCCTTCGTGGTGTCAGGGACCAGCATTCGAGTATTCCAAGAGTATTCGAATAAACACAGCCTCCAATTCAAGTGAGATGGTTGAATGCGATCACCGGATTCCCCTCCATTAGTTCAACTATGGTCAGGCAATACCCCCGGGATCAGACCTACCAGGCATAAACATAAGAAGGTGAAGCTCGAATATACGAATCATTGGCTTGAGTAAATCTAGTGATGCGGTAGGTGTTGTTCCCTGCGTATTCAAATTCATCGCTCTCTGGCCCGTTACATCGTCGGTAGTAGTAGTAGCTAGCCTAAGCTACACTAAAGATGCTCCTAACAGGACAGGGTTTGGTTATAATCGACGCATTGACTGTGGGAGAGACGGCACATTCCGATGGTTGATACAAACGGAGGTGGAATGTATGCCTTCCACCTTCATGGGAGACCCCAACCGTGCTGGAATGCTTCCTATTTGTAGTCCGTGACCCGACAGCTACTTATATAGGCCTCGTTAATGTAGTCCCCCACTTGTGCGACTTAATACATACTTTAATCACCGTTTTCACATCGGGTCACCACGAAACGGGAGTAACAACCCTCTCCCTTTAAGCACCACTCTTCACCAAAACTTTATTTACCATGAAGTGGTATTCACTGCTGCTGGTTCTCTGCACTGCTTCGATTGCCAATTCCGTCAAATTATGTCCTCTCCTGGGCCCGAGCTGGCCTGCTCCCACAGGATTATCCACCGACCCAACTGTTAGATCGGCTCTCCAAAATGTTACCACGACGATCCAGCAAGCTATCAGTGCTGGAAATCTGTCATCGAATTCAATTTCCTTGCAAATCTTCGAGGCAAATGACCCTAGTGCACTGCTTACCCTGTCGCACACTTCCGCCGAGATTGACACCACCATTGGTGTGAGCCAGGTCGACGAGAACACTATATTCCGCATTGGTAGCACATCTAAGCTCTTTACTATGCTTTTGCTCCTGATTGAAAACGGGTTCTCCTACCTGCAGGATCCAATTGCAGAGTACATTCCCGAGTTGCGCCAGGCCGCCGTTGACATTTTCCGGAATTCCACGAAATGGGAGGACGGAATTGACTTTACTAAGTGGAATGAAGTGACCATTGGAGAATTGGCTAGTCATTTGGCTGGAATCGCGCGAGACTGTGAGTGATCCTAGTTGTCCCTTGTTAGGGTTCCCTTGCGGCGACGCCCTATGAACAGTGCAACTGACAGAATACCTAGATGCTGTCCTTGACCTTACGGCGCAAGCTCCGATGGTCGAACAATTGGGATTTCCTGCGTTGCCAGAATCCCAAGTTCCAACCTGTGGTGTATCTACTCCATGCAACAGGAAGCGTATGTTCGCCCGGAATATCCCTATCTGGGTTGACCCGTATTAATATGATCCTATATATTAGAGTTTTTCAAGGGGCTGGTGCAGAGCCGCCCTATTTTCCCCACATCATCAACGCCGGTCTACTCCAATGCCGCCTTTCAGATCCTCGGATATGCTATAGAGGCGATCACTGGTAAAGATTTCGAGGATGTTCTTACATATGAGCTCCTGAAACCACTGAATCTCAGCCGCACCTTTTACAATACGCCCGATATCTCATTAGGTGTTGTTCCCACTTCAGGAGGCCAGAAATATTGGAATTTTCCAATGGGTGACGAGACTCCGTGAGTATCTTGACTGTAATCCATATTGGTCACAAAAGCTCATACATCTCCAGTGCCGGAGGAATTTACTCATCTGCAAAGGACATGGCCGCCTTTGGACGGGCCATTCTTAACAGCACTCTTGTCCCCACAGACATTACAAGACGCTGGATGAAGCCCGCCGCTCATACGGCATCCCTAGGTTATGATGTTGGGGCACCATGGGAGATTTTTTCAATTGGCAAGCAGCGCCCAATAGACCTCTACACCAAAGCAGGAGACATTGGCGTCTACTCGTCGGTGCTCGCTTTGTCTGTAGACCACGGCGTCGGCTTCACAATCCTCAATGCCGGTAACAACACTCATTTCTCGGCTGCACTAGCCTCGGATCTCATTTCAGCAATTTTGATCCCTGCTCTCGAGCAAAGCGCTAAAAACCAAGCACACCAGCGCTTTGCGGGAACATATTCTCTGGGCAGTAGTAACTCCTCAATTACCATTGCCACAGACAATGGGCCTGGGTTGGTTGTTACGAATTGGATCAACAACTCCTCCAATATGCTCAATGCATTCATGGCCCTAAATGGTATCAGTGACCCCTCGCAGCTCAGCGTTCGCCTGTACCCCACCGGCCTCGAGAGTCCAGGGCGGATCTCCTTCAGGGCTGTGGTTCCACCGGCTCTGCCATCTGGAATTGGGCCCTTTACTTCGTCCTGCATTACATGGGTGACCATCGACTCAAATGTGTATGGTAATGTGGGTATTGATGAGTTTGTGTTCAACCTGGATCAGAACGGTAATGCAGTGAGCATCTCCCCTCGGGCGCTGCACACAACTCTTCAAAAGTCTTGACTTGGGGTAATCGTAATAAAATAGAATATTAGGTTCATTCCTGCGCATGAAATGGGCAAGATCAAAAAATTCCCCCTTTATCGTTCTCCCCTTCACTCAACCTTAAATTGTGCCTTCGGTGCCCTAGAACCTTCAGCTGACCCGTGATTACCCTTGTCGCGATTCTTTGTTAGAATGGGCACTAACATTTTACATCGACCGCCAAAACTAGTGGACTTTAATTCCATGAATTTCTCAACCTAGAGTATTCTTGCATGTTCTCCCTTTGTGCATTCAACCCTATGCAAGATATGTTTCTTTTCCACATCTAACCGAATACATACGACCATGGCGTGTGGAAAACAGGGCTTCCAGTCCGCTCAGCCGTACTTAAGCCATGTATTCTACGCGGTCAATATTAAATGCACCCTCAGCACCAAATCGGCACCCCAGCGTGAGTGTGGATGATATGGGTGGGAAGGCTGGAGACTGGGTGAGAGGTGAGAACGAGGTGGCAATTCTCACCGAAGCTCTGGCTTTGCTCAGAATACTAAAATGAAGTCCTTATGGACGGGGTACGATGGATGTAGTTCAGATCCACGTGAATCTGGGGCTTTGGAAACCTTCATGATTATGTCTTGCTTATGCCTCGAAGGTAAGACATCAAGTTAACTAATTACACCCCTCGATCTGCAAGGGACCCTTCAATTTCCCCATCATCTGACTCGCTTCTCCTACTCTGCTGCCGGACACCAATCGTAGTGGCCCTCCGCGTTGTTTCCCCACCACGATGGGAATGGGTGCGAGACTCCACCAGCCCCGAAAACAGCGAATGAGAGGATGAATAGAACCGTCAGACTAGCGCCATCAAAGGCTCCTGCAATCAGATAGGAATAGTCCCTGAAGATCCGCGGCCGGTAGTTTCGGAGATAAAACTGAACGTAGAAACCAGCAAGGATCCAGGTGAAGAGGACACAGGTCTGGCTTTGGTTGTAGGGGATATAACCGGCGTATTGGATGAATTGCGGTAGATTGATTTCTGACGTATCAAAGTTTCCAATTTTGGGCACGAACTAAAAGTACCCGGCGTCAGCTTCATTTAGAACAAGAAAGGGCGAGGATACTTACTCGATGGAAGACGGCGTGAACCATCACAGCACCGGCACCGGCGATTATACCAAGGGGTACAGCCCCATATGGGGTACCGATCTTATAGATGTAAGGAGCCAGAGCCCATGATGCGGCATTGGTGTTGAAAGATTGTATAGTTGCACCACTCCAGGAGGAGTTTCCATCACCCTCGACAAGAAGATCTCGATTGCCCGATACAATAGAGATCATAATGGCGTAGTTGATGAAGCCACCAAGAATTGTGCCATAGATTTGTGTCAGGAACATGATTCGCGGAGGGATTTTGACTAAAAGAGAATTTTCAAAAATAAACATCGGGTTCTAATTAAAGGATGAGGGAGGTACTCACGATATTCGCCCATCTTTAGATCATTGGAAAGATTAACAGCATTGTTAATGACGTTATGCGACCATGCAGCAAAGTACATGTTACCGATTGGGCGTCCAGGAAGGATGAGACCAGCCAGCATTTTGGACAAATTGTTGGTAGCAATACCATTACCGAAGCGAGAATAGATGATGGTACTCTGTAGCACGGTCATAATCAGCATCGTTCTAGGAAGATTATTATCGGGAATCCTGTACTCACAAAGGGTGAGATAATGCATCCCAGCGCGAGTGAGACCACGTATTCCCAAGCTGACAAGGTGATGTTCTCTTTTGTGACGACAATTATACCCAGGATAAAGCTGCCAACGAGCACAGTGATATACCACCACCATGGAGCCTCTTTATAGTTCTTGGCCATATGCTCATGGTGTATATCATCGTACCTACCTTCTCTCGCGCTTTTATAGGCCTTCCAGATATCCTTGCCCCAAAATAGAGCGCAGTGAACGATCAGGGCACCAATCGCTGCGTTGGCCATAAACATTGCGAATGCAAACGTTCCAGTGAGTTTGGGTAGCCCATGTTCGACCAGGGCGGCTTCGCTAAGGACACCGCCGGGGAAGACCTCGTCCAAAGGGTATGTGGTGCCATTGCTCATGAGCATTCTCGTCGACATAAATGGAAGCGATTTCGCATTCCAGGCATTGCCATAATATATCCCCATCATAGCAATAAAACAAGTGGCAATCCCTAAAGCCTGATGAATTTGTAGTTTGAGAGGGAGGGAGGTTTGGAAAGATGTGAGCTGCTTCTGTTAGAGACATGCTAGATCAATAGGTGGGTATAGAGGGCATTTTCTCACATATTGCCAATCGAACGACAGCGTGAATAGGCCAATGCCCTGGTTGTTGGTGGCTCCACCGAAGACATTATTTAGTACGTTGGCGGTTTCACCAGTGGCCTTTTGTGCAGCCAGGCACTATAAATACGAAGTCAGTCACTTCTGTTCAGATCAAATCCCGATAACCGAAGAGAGTCAGAACACATTGAAATAGACAAACCACATACCGGAATAGAAACAGAGTTTAGCCACGGGAAGATATAGGCAGGAATGGTCTCGTATAGCGCCATGCCACTGAATGCATACCAAAAGTATCTAAGAGGCTTCGAGTTTTTAACTGTCTGCCAATGAAGTCCCTGGAGCGTCTTGACAGTAGGCAAAGTACTCCAGTAGACGGCCTCGGTGTGCCAGACAGCGATAGGACGCATAATACCACAGATACCGTAGCCAAATAGACCGATAGAGATAACACTCAATATCACAGTCGCCGGTCTCAAGGGAAGGTTGTAGAATAGATCCTGTGCTGCGAATACCGTCGCGCTAGTAGCAGCATTTGAGGCTGACGTAGCAGTAATTGAACAGATTGCGTGCTCTTTCAGACCCCATTCCCCCTGATTGAAAACCTTCATCGCCTTGATCCAAAAGGGTAGTTTTCCCTCGCCATTTTTCGCCCTCCAGCGAGCTTCAAATTTGTCGCCGCGGGGAAGGAATTTAGCCCAGGCATTGCCAAGGAAGTAGGAGATGAGCACGATGAAGGTTCCCTGAATTGTAACCATGGTCGGTTTGAACTATGGATTAAGTCGTTAGTGTCTGTGCAGGAAATGGATGGATTGAAAGTACCTGATAAATCTGGTACATCACAGCCTGGAAACATGCGAGGCCAGACGAAAGGAATATACTTCGAAGGGTTAAAACACTGTCATGGTCGTCTCGCAGAGGCAGCAGATGGAGAGCTGCATCTGCACCGGTGACGATGATCGCGCCCGGTTGGTCATCGAGGCCATCGTCACCGAGTCCACGCTCATCTTTTGTAGCAAGCACAGTAACACCAGTCTTTTCACCGATGGCTTCCTGACTAGCGACAGAGATGTCACTGGTCTTTACGGGCGACTCGGACATACTGATATATCATGTATATGATTATCTGTTCCAAGGACGCTGAGGTATGGCCATAAATATGGTTGCGCGTGTTTGTTCCTAGGTCCTACCGGCCTCTTATACCCCAATATAGGAGAAATTGCGTTCTTATCGGACCACTGGCGCAAATATCCCCATGGTACCATGCATCCCTAAAATGAGCCACAGGCTTTGAAACGATACAACCCTCTTTCGCCTCACAGCTCAATTATTTAATTGAATCCTGATATTTTTTGAGAACCTCCCGCTTAGTCCCGATGATAACATTTTCCCTAAGATGACAACATGCCAACCCTAGAAAGCTCGGACCCTTGGCCAACATCCGTATGAGATCGCAATTGGTTTCAATTTATTCTTGTGTTTCCCCAGGCCGCGGGGTTGTAGTTACCACCTGAGATAGTATCGCCCTCGAATCAGAATCTTATCATATCGAGTGAGATGCGTTGTGTGTATGGACAGAGCTTTTGGAGGCGTTTTTGAGATAAGCTATGTCCTCGGCTGATTATGCCAATTTGTTGGCGCTGACTTGTGCGTTCTTTCTTTAGCCAATGTATGCCATTTTGATACTATTTGGTCAGCTGGTAGGCACTTGGCAGGCGGAATTCCGACGGACCCCCTAAGATAACGTCGACTCCCCCGAGGTAGGGTAGTAGTTTTCTACTCTTTTTTTTTTTCGGACATTCCGTGGGGTATTTGAACCGAGATGAGATGTTCCTTCTGCTTTTTAAATTAGACTTCTTGGCTAGGCTCGACGCACTTGATAAAGCGCAAAGTATAGTATATTTCAAAAGAAGTGGGGAAATGGGCATCCGCTGTTTTTCCTCCCTGCTTGAAGTTTTATAAATTAAAGTGATCAAATCAATAGAAGGGCCGTGGAAATATTTATCACTCACTGGTGAAATTACGGCGAAGCTTAGAGGGAAAAATCTCCGATTATCATGGAAGAGACAGAGAATATTGGAAGATATTTGGCAGGAAGCAGCACATGGCAAATAGACTATTACGAGTTTGCCAGTTCGCCCGTCCAAATTGTGGCAGTATAATTTGTGAGCGTTTTATACCCCCGAATATACCAATATCGATAGTCAAATCTTAGTGCGCGTGTCCTTGAAGCTTGTCATGCGGGAAGCCCCCCGGGGCCCGGCAAGACTAGCACCTTACGGCTGAGACATGTACGAGGCATAAACATGTACAATTTTAAGACCGCAAAACATACAAACTCAGACCTCTAGGTCAAAGCCATATAGCCATATGCCTCTTTTAAATTATTTTACATGTTCCCTCGGGGGGTTCCAAAAGATAAGCAGCCACCTCCTTTGAGCTACTCGCGTGACATAAAAAAGCAGAAATCTGAACGTCGCCATTTCACTCTGAATTCGCTACAAAATGGCTAGTTTGTATACAGAAACAACCCCAGCGGTGGTCAAGAATGCTAAGGTATTGGCCCCTATAGTCTTATTTCGCTTGGATGCTGACCTCGGGACCGTGAGACTAGGGTTTACATCTTATCACCTGCTTGACTCCTAACGGAAAGAAAGTCCAGATCCTGCTTGAGGAATTGAAGGATATCTATGGACTAGAGTGGACAACTTCTTTGATAGATATTGACACTGATGAGCAGAAGAAACCGTGGTTTCTGAAGCTCAACCCTAATGGTAGAATCCTCCCAAAGTGTGAGGTGGTATGATTTCTTACACATATAGGGAAAATCCCCGTGCTCATTGATAACACGGGAGAACAACCTTTCCCGGTGCTGGAGTCATCAGCTGAGCTACTCTACCTTATCGAGACGACGGACAAGGATCATCAGCTGAGCTTTTCCAATGTCAAAGAGCAGTCTCAGATGATGCAGTGGCTTATCTTCTGGCATGCTTCGGGTCAGCCAAACCAAAGCCAACTGAACCACTTTGGAAGATTTGCTCCTGAACAGATACCCTGTAAGTTGACCTCTCCAAGATATACTTGGTACTGGAAGTGTAGAACAAACCTTGGAATAATTTATTAATTGGTTAATATCTGCAGACGCCATTGAGAAATTCAAGACCGAAACTCTACGCATTTACAACGTACTTGAGATCCACCTTTCTGGGCGTTTGACCTGTCAGGCTCGGGAATATCTTGCGGGAAACGGTCTTGGCAAGTTCAGTATTGCTGATATTGATGCATATCCATGGGTCCAAGCATGGAAGCGTAGCAAAATTTCAGAGGAGGAGATGGCGAGTTACCCGCACTTGAAGGAATGGATAAACCGGATTGGGTCCCGACCAGCTGTACAGAGGGGAGTTAGTGACTTTTACGACGAGGCCATTCATCCCGAATTACTCATTAGCACCTGATCAATAAACAAACTGGGTGTCCAAATGGTCTAGTCTAGTACTGATGGAAACACACGATGAAAGTGTTGCTGATAGCCCAAGGGGTATTTCCCATACGCAGTAGGAAGGCATGTCGAAGATGCCACTGCCTTCTGTAGGTTAAACAAGTAGGTTCATTTCACCGCTAAACTAAAGCAGTTTCACAAATCCCCTCCATAGGCCCTTGGAGGTGAAGATTCCACGAGGATCTACCGCCTTCTGGATATCCTTGAGTCTTTGCAAATTATATTCACCATAACCAGAAAACACCTGGCTGGCCTGCTCGGCTGATGCGTAGTTCATATACGTATACCGATTTGCAACGCCCAGCTTATCGGCTGTCAACGTAATCCTGTCAACGGCATTTGCGGTCATCCTGTTAACGGTCACATCATCACTTGCATTCGACCAGGCTGTGGAGACCAAAATAACTACAGAACGTGTTAGTAGTAATGTTAAAGATATCTGTGATCAGAAGAGCCTGAGAAGGAGAAGCACTGACTAAAAAGAGGCTCATCACGCTCGAGATCAATACCTAAAGCATTGCCGCCTCTGTTCTTCATGGCTGCGATGACATTCCTTTGTATCGGATAACAGATCAAGTTGGTATTTAAGCCGGGCACAGACTTGATAGACTCAACCTCCTGCTGGAAGATCTGGAGAGCCCGGGAGAGTAAGGAGCGAGATGGAGACACGGTCAGGGTAGCAAATAAGTTTCTGCCACACGATAATGAGTAAACAAAGAAAGAAAACCTTGGAAGGGTCAAAAGACCAGCACTTACCGAGTTGTACCCATTGGGATAGAACCATTCGACACACTGCTCATGAATCCTATGGTTGTAGCCCTGCTCAATGTGGGGATTTGGTCAATTTCGCGGAAGACCGGGGGATTCTGAATTGCCTTCCCGTAGCGCTGGGTGCCCATCAAAGTAAAGTCATCACTCGCCGAGCGGTAGCTATAGTATAGATCATAACCCATTTCCACGTCACTGGTGAGATCTTTATCTGTAAATAAGTCGTAGACCTTGTCAAGAACTTGCTCAGTATAATTCGCGGAGTAGGACGTCTGCCCGGTGAAGACAGGGCCTTGGGCAAATGTGCGGATTGTGAAGGCTGTAACAATGGCAAAGTTATTGCCTCCCCCCGGAGAGCAAAATAGAGGTCCGGATCATGCGTCTCGGAGGCGGTGGTAATCGTACCATTGGCGAGGACAACCTGGAAACACGTATTTCAGCGATGAATCTATTTTGCGGTTTGCCATGGAGCAAAACGTACCTCATATTCGAAAACATTATCTAAAGCCCATCCGTACTTGTTTGAGAATGGGGATGTTCCTCCACCGAGTGTAAATCCACCCATACCCACGCTGCCTACTCTCCCACCGACAAAAGACAGGTTCCGAGATTCCAGGGCATGGTACACTTGAACGCTAGTTGCGCCACCACCAACACGTGCCTTGTTCCCATTGTCTAAGACATCAACTTGGCTCAAGAGGTCTAGGTCCACAGTAACTCCGCCAATGGAATTAGAGTCTCCCGCAGTCCTGGAGTGACCACCACCCTTCACCGAAAAATAGCACCAGTGGTCAACGAGAACACTCAATGCTTTAGCCACATCAGAGGCACTGCTGGGCTCGATGCGACAGGATGGGCGAACCTCCTGCTGCTTCGCATCCCATATGGTGAAATCATCACTGTCAGGGTAGTGGACTGCGGATCCGAAGAATGTGGAGAGTTGGGCACACTGCACATGGTTAATATTGGAAGGCCAAAGGGGCATTGACATACTGCTAGTTGACAGTTTGCAGGGGCTTTTGTGATCAAGTGGATGGTTTCACCTGCGTTTGCCATAGCAAGAAATGATATCAACCAAACAGTGGTTCGCAGCATTGTCAGACAGCACACGTGAAAGTATAAGGAAGGGACTTGCGGTAGCCAGAAGAGCTATGGAGATTTATCTTCTACATCTTTCAATATTGTGAGACTTCGGACTTTATATATCACTTTCTGCTACAACGGAGGATCTTCGCAGCCAAAAATGATAACGTAGGCCAAGTGAAGAGCCGGTGCAATGATCGAGGTGGGTGGAACCCAACCTGAACCTCATTCGATGGCGATGAAATATGCATCGTGATTAAATATGTGACCTGCCAATTCGCAAGGGACAACATTCTGTGTAAGGGCAGAGTAATTCTAGACGGTGTATACATTGATCCATGGATCTCCACGGGAAAATATCGGCTAATAGATCCTCTATTCCTAATATGGATAAGCGTTATGCAGGTTGATGACAGGGTGGGTCAATGAGGGGTGCGATTGGCCCAACCTTACAAACTACTTCAAGGTTTCGTACAATTATATTTAGACTTTAGCTTTTTTCACTCTTCACGCTATCCCTACTTCTCACGACACCCATTTACTAATGTCCCGAAATTCCTGTCATCAAGGTGCATAAGGAGTAAATACCGTATAGATGAAACGCACAATGGAGGAGCCCTCTAAAAACCGGATAGTTTTACGGCCGTTCTCGGAGCGCCTCTGCGCATGGCCGGATGAAGATTGGTCAGGCATAACGGACCCAAAAACCCGCCGAAGGCTGCAAAATCGCCTAAACCAAAGAGCTCGACGTATGTTCAATCCATAGCCCATTACCTAGCAATCATGGAACTGACGGTACGTACAGGTCTACAGAACAAAGAACCGACAAAGCGCTCGGACAGAAAGGATCAACACGACATCAACTGTTTCGTTGCTAAACAACACGTGCAATCTACGCGTGATGCCACACATCCAACAAATGAACAAACTTTAGCAGCACATACCATGATGGACGTGACCTCACTGATCCCCTTGGAAGCAATTGAGGATGTGCATATCCTTCACTCCCATTCAACGGCCACAAAAATCACGATGCAACGTTTAGAGATGACGGCACGTGGATATTACATGTTAGGGTCTCCCCGCACTGATCTTCTACTCCACCTGATTCAGTTCAATTTCACCAGAGCACTCATGGAAAACACTACGGTCTTAGGCCTCACATCAGATCAGCTGCACGATGATGCTATCTCACCATTTAATATTGCTGGCCCATGGCAATGTGACTTTGAGAGCTCACTTCCACCCAGTCTACAACCCACTATGATCCAACGCTCTATTCCACACCACCCGTGGCTAGATTTGCTTCCAGTTCCGCAGATGAGGGATAATCTGATCCAAGCTGGAGACTTTGAGGAGGAAACCCAGCTCTGCCTGGATATGAAGGGGAGTGGGAATACTTACCCGGAGAGGACTGGGATCATTGTTTGGAGTGATCCTTGGGATCCGGCGGGGTGGGAGGTTACGGAGTCTTTTGCTTGTTCTTGGGGGTGGATTATCAAAGACTGTCTTGACTTGGCGCATTCCACAAACCGGTGGCGGGCAATACGGAATGAAAGACCGCTGTTTTGTGTGAATTGATATGGTAGATCTCTACTGAAAATTGAAATGAGAATACAAGCCTAGATCGGAAAAGGCTTACATAGGTCAACAATTAACGGAGACAACCAGAGCGACTAGAGCGCCAGGTCTCCAACTACCTAGGAATAATGGATAAATTAATATGCAATGCAAGATGAAAACTAGCAGAATTATGATATTCGATTAAACTAGCTACCAACGAGTCTCGAGGCGTATTCCCAAAACTTCTTTAGATCCTTGCTTGAGACACTAGACTAGTTTCGAATAACATGACTCTCTCCCTTGACTTCAATAATGCATATCTCATTGATGGCCAATCACTTTCTTGGGATCATATAGGTCATCAATGCTCTTCAACTCTTCGGGACTAAGCTCGAGAGAAATAGCGTCGACTGCTTCATCAACCCTTTCCTTCTTACTCATTCCCAGAATCGGGGCAGTGATAAAAGGCTTGGATAGGGACCAGGCAATTGCCACAGTCGCCATCGATACACCATGCTGTTTAGCAATCTTCTCGACCTGTTCATTGACATTTTTGTCTGCATCTGTGATAGGCTGACCAAAAAAACCCTGACCTTGATCCTCCCCCCGTGTGGTAGTAGAGAAATTACACCAGGGCCGGGCAAGGAAGCCCATTGCAATAGGGCTCCAGGGGATGCTGCCCATTCCGAATTTGGCACACGCAGGGTACATCTCCCGCTCCTCCTCACGGTAGATAGCATTGTGGAGGTTCTGCATGGAGATAAACTCGGTCCAACCATGGATGCGGGCGGTGTACTGGTACTCGAGAAGTTGATGAGCCCACATAGACGAAGCGCCAATATACCGCACCCTGCCCGACTTGACGACATCATGAAGCGCCTCCATGGTTTCCTTGACGGGGGTTCTGGGATCGAAGCGATGGATCTGCAGCAAGTCGACGTAGGGTAGGTCTAGCCTTTTCAGGCTGGCATCGATGCTGTCGAAAATATGCTTTCGGCTCAATCCGTACTCATTGATGTAACCAGAGTTATCTTTTTCATCGTCAGTCATCGCCATTGGTTGTTCGAGACCGCGACCGACAGGCGCCCACAGTTTGGTTGCGATGACAATATTCTGACGGCGCCAGTTGTATTTCTTGATCGCCTTGCCTAGGATCTCCTCCGAGAGCCCATTGGAGTAGGCATTTGCCGTGTCAAAAAGGTTGAGACCAGATTCGTAGCAGTAGTTGAGCAGGGGCAGTGCTTCTTCTTCTGGAATTGACCACTTGATACGGCCCTCGGGATTTCCAAAACTCATGCATCCCACGCCAATTGGGGCGATGCGAAGGCCGCTGCTGCCGAGTTGCACGTATTTCATGTTGGCTTGTTCAAGGAGGATGGATGGAGAATATAAATTGTTGGGTGTGAGGATGGGAGTTGTTGGGACAGAGCATGGTTTTATAATTTATGGACGGGGTTAGGGGATAAACAATATTTACAAATGGAGTTTCTGGAAAGACTTGCAATGAGATTGTCTGTCCTCTTTATGCAACATGATGACATATCGAACCTCATTGGTTACAGTTTTAACATAATGGGGCTTTGATTTTATATAGATATCTTGGCATCGGCGCTACAGATAATTCGACGACCACGCGCTCCCTAAAGCTGTCTCTCGATCATATGCCTCCCAATTGACTCTAGATTGATGGTTAGCTGGGCGCTGTTGAGCCTGCGGCGATGGTGTTTTGTTGAAAAATGGAGTACGTGAGGATGTGATGGAGGGTGTCTTCGTTGACTGGAACCCACTGCTGACGGTCGAAACGCGCCCTGAGTGTTTCACCTTGCTCCGACACGTATCCTACATTCTCGACCAGGCCGAGATTTATGGTGTTTTGTGCAGACCGGTGGCGTTACGGTAGCTGGTGAAAGCGTCGAGGAAGGCGTTGGCCGCTGCATAGTTTGCCTGGCCTTTGTTGCCGATGACGCGGGATATGCTGGATAACATGGCGAAGAAGCCCGGAGGTTGAGGTTGCTCACGCTGCATTGCGAGGTGCAGCTTCCAGGTGCTGGATACCTTGGCGTGGATTGAGGTGGTGTAGTCATCGTGGGCCGTGGTGTCGTAGGGTTTGTCGTAGAAACAAAGGAAGTTAGTTCGGGATTTCACTGAGACCACAGCAAATTAGCCAAGCATAACACACCCGGAGAACCATAGCGCCTTGGATCAGAACTGCGATACACCGGAGTTGGATGGACCTGGACACGTGTCGCACGAAATCTAAATCTCCGACGTCGCCCTTGGCCTCGACGATCTCGCATACATATGCATCGCAGTCGACATGAATGCGGGAGGAGGCCGCATCGTGGGCGCCGCTCCGGTTGATTGAGATGATGCAACGACACCCCCCCTCTGGCGATCCAGGTACAAAGCCAGGCTCTAACACAGACTGCGGAGCCCTCCCACAATGAGTTAGGCAGCCGCAGGATCGAGGTTTGGTGTCGGAACAGCCGGTCGAATGGGCAGCTGCAAATCGATCGCCTCCAGCGGATGTGCTTGCCACTGCGTATATACCATAGGGCGGGGAAGGCTTCTTCAAAGGGGTAGCGAATTATGGGATGGATCGGTCCAACATCACGCCGTTTACCAGGTCGAATATCTCGCTGAAAAGGCCGCTAATCAGTTATCGCCGAAAGGTAGAGATTCATCTTGTTGAATCTCGATGTATATGTATGTCGGGCTTCTAGGATGTGACGTCAATTTGTTGAAAACGTGCGAAGGTAGGAAACGCTATCGTCACGAAGGCCTATATTGAAACTAAACAAATTGCAGGCGATTTTACATAGCTAGCTCGTATCAGGTCAACCACCACCATATCTTACGGGCCTAGATCAACCTGCTTCCTATGGCCAGTGGAGAACACATTTCAAGGCTGCGCGTCCCATATCCATATTTACAAGACCGTGTAGACGCGTCGGGCCAACGAGAATGTCGTTTACTCCGTACCTAACCAGATGATATGGATCAGCTGAATTAAATGGAGCCAAACTATTCCGTGCTCGGTAGTAAATCTACCTGCAGGAAGTGACTTGTCAGATCTAAATGTGGAGTCTTGCATATAATGATCGTCCTTAGGGTTTCCACAACTTTCCAACCCCTAACTATCTATGTAGCTAAGTATTAGTTTATGATGTAGATCTGCAATTGGTGGAACACGTACAAAAACCATATTATTTTTTCAACCAGTTCTCCCCTGCACCCACTTTCTTTCTTCAGATCGAGGGTGGCTGGCGTTCACGTACATTAGTATTGCTAGTGTGTGTTTTTTTTTTTTTTTTCCCTTTCTTTTCCCTTAGATTTTCTATACCTAACAAGTTCGACTGGCCACTATTTTGAGTCAATTATTAATGGCACAAGGAAATCCCTGCAATTGTTGCAGAGGGCTCAGCTGCGAAATGATCTGGCTGAGACCAATTTTGATAATTGTTGCCCTAAAATCCACCGTCAAATATTCTTCACTGCATGATGACGAACCCACAGGACTCGTCACACTTTAGTTTATTTCCTACCAGGCTCTCAGTGAATCGTTTTCTCTATTTATTCACATGATCCTACATGAGTGTTGCAAGAACTTCATTCCTAGGTTCGAGATTTTATCTACTTTAAACCATAATGACTTCCGATACATACTCGTTAAGCGAAGTTATAAGGGTGGCCGAGATCCATCCTTTCTATAATTCCGATCGGAAGTATCCGCCTAGCCCAGAAGAAATCCAGAAGGCCCTTCAAAACTCACCGACGGAGCCAAAGAAGACAGACCTTGATTTGCAACCTTTGCTCAAAAAGGATGACATGTAAAGCTACGATTCCATGTATTTCGATTTTCGATTTCAACTGACCAACTTCAATAGTTATCGTGTCATCAAAGAGCTCACAAATGACACAGATCCGAGAAATGAATACCGGCGCAGCGTGTATATCAGTACTACAGGGGGAGGCTCTGGTGGGCTACCACTGATGTTTGCGACAGACACGAAGGAAAACCGCAAGCACAGGGCATTGTTTGGAGAATTTCTGAAGATCTGCAGAGTCATTGAGCCAAACGACTGGGTTCTCACAACCCACACGTCAGGGTTCCTTTACAGGTATGTAGATTCATGTGCGGGCTAAGAATATCCAAGTGTAACATTCTATGAGATAGATCCCTCGATCTTATCAGCGAGATCCTGGAAAACGCGGGAGCATCTGTTCTCTGTGCTGGGAGTCGCATGGATGCCGCAGAAGTTGTCCGTGCTTTGATCAACTACCGTGTGAATGTTTTGACAGGGGACAGTAGTCAAATAATCCATATTGTTCATCACATTTCGACCCTTCCCGCCGATGAGCGAAGTGAAATCAAGATCAACAAAGTGATTTATACCTCCGATTTGATGACATTTACCCAGAGAAGCTATGTTTCGAAGGTACTGGGTGGAGTTAAGATACTGTCGATTCTGGGAAGTGCTGAGGCAGGTCCGTACGCAATCAGCAACCCTGACCTCACCGGACGCTGCACTTCTTCAGCAAGAGACTTTGTCTTTGATACTCGCACCATGCTCATTGAGATTCTTCACCCCTCTATTGTCAACGAAGACTCTTCCGTTGGGAGATTTGGGGGGCAGCCGGTTCCTGAAGGGGAACAGGGAATCATTGTCCAGACGTCACTGCAGCGTCTGCGCAATCCTCTTATACGGTATATAACAGGAGACGTGGGGTCAATCCATTCAATCCCCGAGGCTGCCGCTGGAATTATTCCGGAATCAGAACTGAAGCACTTTCGAGTCCTCCGCCTTGGAGGTCGGGATCGTCGGTTCAGCTTCAAATGGTTCGGCGAGTATTTCAATTTTGAAGGGATCGAGAATCTCATGCAGAACGAGGGTTCAGGCATCCTACAATGGCAAGTTATCCTGGACTCTTTGGATTCGTCTCCGCAGTCCACTTTGGAGGTTCGCATGCTTCGTGCGGCTGCAGGTGATGGAATTCTGGATAGAGAAACTTTTGTGGACTTGGTCGAGACTTTCTTTTTCGTCTTCCCTGAAAATCGACACCTTTTCAAAGTCAACTTCCTTGATGACCTTGAGGGATTTGAGAAAAGCAGCACCGGAAGCAAGATCATGAAGCTTGTAAATAGATTTGATTAAACTTGCCAGTTGACGCTTCGATTTAACACTGGTTCTTGTCGGTGGGAGGGCGACCCTGTCCGGTTTGATGCATTAGCTTCGACGTAATGATCATCCATATGTTGGATACGTCGCCATCTAATTGTATATACCGTGCTAAGACCATATAAGAACAAGCTAAAACAACGATCTCACAACTTCGTACTGGTCAGTCTCATCATAGCGGGGCCTGCTTGGCGCAAGTGATCAGATAGCTCTCCACACCCAAAGATGTCGACCAAGGGTTTGTATTTGCCCCATGTTCGAATGAAGTTATAACACGACAGATCTACTGATTGAATTGCTCTGGAGTGGAGATTCCCAAGTCCGAGTATCTATGAACAGCGAGGATATAATTAGTGGGCTGGCCCTTAGAATCTCGGACAGAACCCTTCAATCCAATCTTGGGAAGAGAAAAATGGGGAATCTCATTACAACAGAAGATAAAAGCCGAATATTACATATAGCATCACCAGGTAAAATGAGCAGAAGCATTTATAAACTACCTGAAGATAGCAAGGGAGACAGTTCTGAAAGTGTTACGGAATAAGCCAGTGGTGGTAAAGATGATCCTATTCATATGCTAGAGCTACGTACGATGTAACCTATGCTTAGTAATGACAGTGAGGCCTAAGGCCGTCACAGAAAGAGGATTATGAGCGGAGAGTTTCTCGAGTCCTTTTCTTGGGATCAATAGGGTAGGAACCTTTTTTGTTGTAGACAAAGAAGTGCAGGCGTAGAATTTCAATCTTTTACATGGCAGAATAGTTAGTAAGGTGGTAGGATCCAATCTCCGATTGGCTCTCTGAGCTCCCAAAACAACTAAAGAGCCGTACAGAGTACTCCGTACATAGCAGAGGATGATTGTCAGATTGACGGAAGAAAATTTCTGATGGCCTCGAGACATCATGCAAGGATGAGCCGAAATATTCTCTTCCCCCGGGCAAGGAACCCGGGGATTCCTGACCCGAACGAATGATAATGCGAAATAATAATAAACACGGAGGAGATCGTAGCAATCAATTCGGTGGCGACCGGGTCTGATGTCACGTGCACCCCGGACCTGAGAAAAAGTCGACCCGCCCTTATCTTGTTATCGATCTGGACTTGTCAATCTTCGACCTTTACACGTCTTTCACCAGTCTCTTTCTCTGGGAGTCATCACCAGCCTTCAATCTTCAACCTCGCGCCTTTCATCGGTCTCTTGTCAGTCGATCTGCCTTTACATCTCCGACTTTCAACCCGCCTCATCTACACATTATGGATCACACACGCGATCCCTGCCCCTGGGTTGCCCTGAGCGATTTTGGCGGTGCCTTCGCCATGGGTGCTATCGGTGGTGCTGTCTGGCACGGTGTTAAGGGTTTCCGCAATAGTCCCTACGGTGAACGCCGGATAGGTGCTCTCACAGCTATCAAGGCGCGCGCGCCGGTCCTCGGTGGTAACTTCGGCTGTTGGGGTGGACTTTTCAGCATATACGACTGTTCAATCAAGGGAATTCGCAAGAAGGAAGATCCTTATAATGCTATCATCGCCGGTTTCTTTACCGGTGGTTCCCTGGCTATCCGTGGTGGTTACAAGGCCGCCCGAAACTCCGCTATTATGTGTGCCGTGTTCCTTGCTGTGATTGAGGGTGTCGGCATTGGTTTCCAGCGCATGATGGCTGATAACACAAAGCTCGAGGTATGATGAACCCCCTGCCCTTAAATTGACCTGTTTGGGGTTGGAGTCAAGACTTGTCTGCTAACCACGACTTTCCAACAGCTTCCTCCTCCACCCCCATCCGAGCACAAGGCTCTTGCTTAAAATCTCTCTCGTCTCCATTCACCAAAACGATCGACCTATCTACATTCGATCGCTCTCAACCTATCCTCCCTTCCATCTCTTTCTTCATACCGACATCCCGGCTTTGATTCTCTCTTCCTGGGTGTTCGATTTTGGTCACCATATTTAAACGACATAGCATAGAGGTTCCTGTTTTTTTTTTACTCGCTTTTAATACCGCATCCCGCAGCCTGTGTTTTCAAAGCATTGTATTTTATGGACGGCGGATTTGTTCTTGTGGCTGGTACCAAGACTGGCGTGTCTCTTTTCCGTGGCCAGGTGGCTGAATAAAAGAATCTCTCCACTACCTATTTGCAAAAAAAAGTGTTGAAGGCGGGTATTTTTTGGACTCCTGTATATTAATGTATGACAAACATGAGACGCATCTCTTTTCTATATATTGATTTCGGCTTAGATCACTCAGAACAGACCGAGTCCGAGTAGGAACTATGGTTTTTCCTAAACTGACTCCACACAATGAGCTTATATAACATGGATGTGGAGTTTAGACTATCACAGTTGCTCTGTTTCATCTATGACTGTCACTGCATCTTCCATAGAAAATTACGCTCGAGACCAGGTATATATATCTTGCATGAATTGATCAATATTTTCTGAACTCCCTAGAGAAGATAGACATTAACAGCATCAATCCAACATGTTCCTTTCTTGTCTGACAAGCTCGAAAAAAAAGTACTGGTGCTATCCGAACTGGCTAAGGGGGAAGGAGATTCGAAAATATTCTATTATGAGATGAATAATATTTAGTCCACTAGAAGTGCGTTCAAGATGGAAAGATGTAGTCTACGACTCTAGCTAGTGCACATGGGAAAATCGGTGGCCGTACCTTAGTGCCGCTAGTTCCGTTCAGCCTCAATTCTTATCTTTTTCAATCTTTCCGTCTTCGTCTAGACAGACCACCTTGCACAGCTGACGAGATGTTGACGTTCAGTCATCTGAACGCAGACGCATTCGAGAACCCCAAGAAAAACGGTCGAAAAAGACCCCGCGTTCGGGAGCCCGTAGCATGTAACCATTGTCGAAAAAACAAAGTGCGCTGCGATCGCAAGTCACCATGCAAACCGTGCCAAGATCGTGGAATGAACACACAGTGCACTTACTCCCGGTCCAAAAGTCCAGTTTCAGAATCTGTATCAATAATATCCCCTCGAAGCGCAGAGATCGATCTACTCGCGTTGCAACAACCGACAACCCGTTCCTCCGATGGCGAGAACTTTGACCCTCGATCAGTTCTACCACACCAAACCACCGTCAGTCATGCCAATAGTGCCTTCAAGGGGTCTAACTTCAAAACAAGGCTGATTGGTGGCACCCATTGGATGGCCGTGTGCAGCGATTTGCCCGTAATAGGGGCCATGCTGGAGAAGACTGTTCATTTCCAACCGACATGGAGAACTTTCGCAGAAGTCAAATATCTCCTTCGTGTCGCAAACTCGGTACCAGCCGGGGTGAATGGAGATAGTAAGAAGCTACAGAATCTCCTTCCCGATCGATCGACCTGCGAAAAGTGGATCAGGCGATATTGTGAAACATATGGTAGAATCTACCATGTGGTCGACCAGAACTGCCTGATCACTGAGCTGGAGGAAATGTTGATCGAATGCGTCGATGCTAATGAAGTGCACGTTCTCAAGATACTGCTGGTCATTGCGATTGCCATGCAGACCGACAAGTCAGAGCGACTACGTGGGCGCATGATACTGCAAGAAGCTGAGAGCCGTATTCACACATCGACACAGTTCCAAAAACCTTGTATCGGCGTTATGCAGGCCTTGTTATTGTTGCTCATCATGAAAACCATCACTGCCTCTGACACTGACAAGATTTATAGCCTCGGAGGTATCATGGGGCTGACTACGCAAATTGCTCTGAGCATGGGCTTGAATAGGGATCCGGCCTTGTTCCCCGGTGTCACTCCTTACTATGCAGAAGTTCGAAAACGATTATGGGCGTGTTTTTTTCGATTGAACCTCGACTATTGCATCCGGAGTGGGTCCCACTTTGGTATACGGCTGGAAGATGTGGACTGTCCTCTCCCAAGCCCTGTCGACCTTCTAACCCTTGACCCTGAGACCATGACGGAGTCAGGTGGCTTGTTGAACCATAGCCAGAAAGCAACGGACCAGGCTTTCAATATCGCTGCAATGAAGCTCGCTATAGTGAGAGCTCCATTGCACCAGCGACTTTGCTCCATAACTCCTCAATTATCAAGCGAAGTACGGAATCGAATGCGCGATTCCTTCCACAAGATCCTGCGTGAGTTGCCTCCGAATCTGCAAGAGGGAGCTTCGTCATGCAGTCCAATGGAAAAGCTTCAACAAGCCTTGTTATCAATGAGCGTGCATAGCTTCATGATCATTATCACACTCAATTTTGTCCTAGGAGTCCCGTCTCATAATTCACAGCGGGCTGACCTCTATGATTTATGGGACAATTCGGCGTCTATTCTCTGTCAGTTGCAGGAGGTGTTACAGATTAGCACTGATCTGTCTAGCGTGGCGTACCATCTTCTTTGGACTGACCTTGCCCGCGCAGCCTTGACCGCATGTTTGGTGGTTGGTCGCCTGCGGAGAATCAACCTGGGAACAACGGTCTCCAATGGCCCCCAGCCAACGCTGGTCATATTTCAACAGCTTTTGCTGAAATATCTAGACTCGTTATCGCACATTCTAGCGGGAAGATACCACCTCGGGCCTGTTGCAGCGAAGACAAGACTTGTCCTTGGTGTCGCAACAGCTGTCACCTCAAGCCTGATCAACGACTTTGGCGACTCACAACATGATTCCAAGTTCTTCAAGGTTGGCATCAAAGCTGCCGAGGATGTCGTAGCCGAGATGGAACGTTCCCTGAAACGTGAAGAACAAGACTCAACCCTAGCCTTGCTGGGATTCAATAGCACAGGGACTTCGGCACTACCAAGTGCACCCACCCCTCTTGCGGCAAACTGGATGGACCATGCACAAGTTCCAGATCCCTTAATTCAGACCTTGTTTCCGAGCGACTGCAACTTTTACCCAGATTCAGAATCTCAGGGTCTGGATATGCAGTCCGATCTATGTTTATCATATTCCATGGCGCCATTCAAATCTACTTCGACGATCCAATCCACGCCTAGTCTTTTATGGGAAGACGTTTGAATTTGAATCCGCTGACAGCTGACGTTCAAATCACTTGTGCATAGACAAATGGAGGATAGATATTATGTGCCACCACCCCTTCTTTTTCTTTATTTCTCTCCCCCATCTTTGACTGCTACCATGCCCCATCGATTTACATGTCGAAGTTACACTACATTGATCTTGTCCTCATTGGCCTCTACTATTCCCGCGAAATTTTACGGGGGGAAAAGCTAGCCGTATTTGTAGGTACTTTTTGGATGTCAGGCCCACATGAAAGGTACCTAAGACAAAAGTATGATTTGGTGGGATAGACTGTACCAGGCGTGACTCACTCTTTCCATTTAGGATCCTTTATTAGCGCCTCCTTTTCCTCCAACCTCGGGACTAGTGTTCAGTTAATGATCAGATGACTATGCAATAGCTCTGCGGTAGTTGTCAATCAAATTAAGCATGCAGATTTACATTTGCCATTGCCTTCTCCATCATACTCATGATCTGATCTTGTCTCAGACATGCTGGCCAGTTCATGGTGTACCCGTCTTATACACAATCTCAAGCCTTCTTCAAAGAGAATCCCACTTTTACCACACGGGCAATGATCAAGCACACACCTCCGGCCATGATGAAGAGTGCGGAGAACGTCAAAGTACCCCAGAAAACATCTCCCCCGGACGTTCGTTGGTGGTCTAGGATCGCACCCGCCACCGGGCTACCGATCAACAATCCCAGACCCGACGCAAAGAGGGTCATGCCAATGTTGGTTCCCAGCTTAGACAGATCGGGACAGAGGAAGGCGACCGTTGCGGGAAGCACAGCCTGGATAGAACCGCTTGTTAAGCCCACAAAGACCGAAATGGCGATCAGACCCGACTGGGATTCCACACTGATCCACGCCAGCATTAAGATACCGGTGAGTAGAACGGACGGGATCATGACCGACAGGTTACCGATCTTGTCAGCGATGATGGACGGCATGATACGGCCGGGGACCGAGCCCGCGTTCATGATGATCAGCATATAAAAGGACGAGTCCCGCGACATGCCGAGGTTGATACCGTACTGCTCAACATAGAAAAATGGGATATATAGACCGATGAAGATGAAGAAAGCGGCTAATAGCCAAATGGCGAAGACAGGGTCCCGGAGCGACTCGAGGTTGATCAGCGGGCCTGACTTGCGAGGCTGAAGGCGAGGCTTCATAACAGCGACCGAGATCAGAAGCGTTCCCAACATGATAAACGCCATGACTCGGACTGCCCAGGGTAATCCAATCTGGACGATCAACCGCCTCAGCACGACGGGGTAGATAATGCCTCCGACGCTTGAACCGGTGGCGGCTAGACCGAGAGCAGTGGATCGTCGCGTCGAGAAATACGTGCCTACGATGGCAACACTGGGGATGAATGACATTCCGGCTCCAATGCCGACACAAATGCCCTGGGCCAAGATAAGCTGCCAGTACTCCTTGCAAATCGAAGTCACTGTTGGATTAGCGTTTATCTCGTAAATGGGTGGCAATACTCACTCATCATGCCAAACACTTCAAATAAGACACCCAACGTGATGTCCATGTAGAAATACCCAGCATCAAGAGCGCGTCCACACAGAACTCCAATCACTAGCATCAGAAACGCCTGCAGCGATCCAATCCAAGCAATCGACGACTGTGACGAGTCCTTCAGCAAACCGGTACTATATTCAGACTGGAATGTGCCAAATGTGTTCAAGAGGCCCCAAGTGTTGAAATTTAGAAAAAAGGCCCCGAGGACTTGGAGCCATGCCGTCGTGCCTCCATTGGGCGGTGGAGGAGGCCCTGTGGGCTTTGGTGGTTCTTCTGCTACTCCTTCTGTCTTTATATAGCTGCCGACAGTCGTTCCATCAGACTCGACGTCTTTTCCAAACATGTAAGACGGCTGGGAGGATGCCATTGGGAAGTGGTATATGATCGAACCGAGGTCGAAGTTGAAAGCGCCGAAGAGAGTGATGAAGATGTCAATGAAGATGTTTTGTTTCTCATGCCATCAGCAACTTGTGGAAGACATTGACAACAACTGAGAACACGCCGAAATATATTGCCCGGGAGAGCTTCTAATCCACAAAACCAATCAACTCAACCAAACTGACCAAACTGACCAAATGTCCCTAATCAAACTAGATTCTATTTCAACAGAGTACTGTCTAACTCGCAATGTCCAATCACAAGAAGGAACAAACACCACATTAACAAATTTGAAATCTTTCCAGCCGATTACCCCATCGGGAAGTGCACGATCCGGAGTTTAATTACCGAAAGTGGAAGTGGATAGGGCTGATCAAGGGTGAGCCTCAATAGGCCTCCGAATCTGACTACCTCGCTCCCGTCTCATGCCGGCGGACTGATATTGTCGCTCTGAGAATACATGGCAAGTCTGGTGTAGGGGCACACGCTTGGTAAACGCTCGGAAGGCGTCCACGGGCCGGGGCCGGGTAGATGTACTAATCAAGATTAGCGCGATCTTATGATCGGCGAAGTATCTCCCTATATAATTTTGTGTGAGAAGTGACTTTAGTAGCAAGACTAACTAGTTAAGAAGCTTATAGTTGACATACAGCGAGCCTTCTGGTTCTAAGTCCAGGCCAATTCTTAGGATAAACATCATGCCATTCGAAAAAAAAAAAACCATACAGCAATGCTTAGAGTTCAACAAGTGTAGAAATTCTGGCGTTTTGTTCGATAGGACCGGACTCCAGTGTCGAAATTTAGAGGGGTGGAATAATTACGAGGTTTCTTCGTCAGTATATTTGGCCCTCGTGATGATACATAACGCTTGGGATCTCAGCCCGTATCCTATGCTGTTTCAGAATCCTACGTACAGCTATCTGGAAAAAAATGTGTTTCCAAAACCACCCAGGGGACCAGTTGGCTTGAGTTTATAGAAATTCGAGAAAGCCGTCCGTACATGCCCAGCCTCATTTATACCGCTGTTACGTCTGCGAATTTGGACAATTGTATTATACACGATGTCTGCGGCTCTAGCGCGATAATTGATCAAACTCGGAAATCTAGACACCTTCGTTCCTCGTACTGTTCCTCGCACTCTGATCCCGGTCCACCACCGAATCCTCATGCCCTACAAACTACTATAATCTATCCAACAAAAAGATGCGCTGATCACAGGGGGCATTTAATAATCAACAGAATAGAATATGAAAATGTGCGTAACTCTTAATTTGGAGTGGTCGTTGGTTTCGGGACTCGGGTAGAGGAAGACGGGATCCTCGTCGAGGATGGTGCGGCTGTTGTGGAGCAGCTTCCCGTGACGGTGGTTTGGGGTAGCTTAGTCCAGTCTGTGTAGGACTTATTGGGCGCGTTTTTCAGCGTAGCCGCCCAGATGTTGTGTCCGTTGTCGTGATAATGGAGGCTAATATCAGATGGACAGCCGGGGTTCCCCGGAGCTGCAAAGGACTGGACCCATCCCAAGTTCACCAGACCTGCGCTCGTGGTGGCGTTTCCACTCGCGCCGCCCTGAGTCCACTGCAGACAGTTTGAGCATCTGAAGATCAAGGAGTAGTGCGTTGCATTGATGGCGGACGAGATCTGGGTTAGCTTGGCGTTTCCGGTGTAGACGTCCGGCTTGTGGTATTCTGTGGTGTAACGGAAGGACGTGAGGATATCTTCACCATTGGGGTAGGCCAGCAGGAGAAGGGAATCGGTCATTGTACCCCCAAGCGAAACACCACACCAACCTGTGAAGGTAGCATTCGTCGAGGAACATAGCTGCAGGACTGCTTAGTACAAAAGACAGGCAGAGCGGAAATACACAAAATGAGCAGAGCCACACACCAAGTAGCCGATGAATTCGGTAGCATCTTTGGTCAGAGCATCGGATGGCAGAGCGATGCCAAACGTAAACCCTCCCTTACTCAGGGACTCTGGAACAGACCAGGTATCAAAGGCGATGCCTGTATCCGGGTCTGTGTATGCCACCGGTGCCCCGCTCTGGGCCATAGATGTTGATAAGACTGGATGGAACCAGGTTAGCTAGTGATTCACGCACCTCCCAGCAGGAAGAGGCGAGAGCTTACACGGCGTAATGGCCGCAATTGCGGCAAAAGCATGGGTGAAGAATCTCATATTGCTGTTCGGCTTATGAATTCAATCGCAGCGTCGAGCATGCCAGTATCAGGAGAAAGTGGTGTGCAACAGCAATCCGGGTGAATAGGCTTCTTATAATGTCAAACGCCACTCGGGCCCCTGGGCAAGTGGATAGACCTGCCGGGCTTCACTCTCCATCCGTACCCCGGTTGTAACCTCGATGGATTACCCGACAGGCAGGATTATATGGGAGGGTTGCTTAATCGGGCCGAGTCTGCATTGAAAGCGGAACTGCAACGACTAGTGCATGCATGGCGTTGACCCCTGGCAGGTCCTTTCTTCAGGTGACTAATACACTCGCTAACCCGTCGACCCGTAAAGGCAAGAAAACGCAGGCCGCCGCCCACGGTGACTATTATCTGAATATGATGAAGTACGACAAAAAAATGAAGCACCTCACACACATTGAGTCCGTCTCAAAGCCTCACAGCTACGAAAGCTAGCTGCGGAAAAGCCCGTTTCTCATCCAAAAGTGAAAGAAAGAGATCGGCAGGGCGGCATCGGAGTGTTTCCGTTTAATTATAGTGAAAGAGGGTACTAGATGCGAGATGACAACAGCCGGCCCGTTATTTGTCGAGCCCAAATCGTAGGGCCGATCGTTATATGAATATAGCTGTCGTTGCGGGGTAGGACTTGATGATTTGATGGCTCCCCGACGAAAGCCCGACGGGTACCTCGGGGGTGCGCTAGCTAGGGCGATCATTACGTCCCCGTCTAGTCCCGGCAAAAGCCCGACAAAATACATCTCTTGTGATTTTATGTTACTTCTATTATTTTTCTTGTCTACTATTTAAAACAATGATGTCAATCACATTTCTACCTCACATTGAATTTGTTGTACCTTTCTGTGCCGCTCCCTAACACTTCTCCTCTGAATTGCCACCAAATACTTTCCTAACAGTCGAAGACTAGAGTAAAAATAAAGGAAGAGAAAGGGTTGGAAACAATGCCGAGCTCTATAATATGAAGATCACTCTTCTTCGGATACCTTAATTGCCCAAATTCAGATTGCTGAACCTCACTAGATATGTTTGACAAGATCGGCTGAAGATGAAACGGCACGACTCGGCAATAGAAAAATGCGTTACAATATCAACATTGCTAAATAATTGAAAACATGCAGAACCAATATACCACTCCTTCAAAATACCAAAACCAGAGCATATACTACTCAATCAGCCTAACCCTAGTCGGCAACCCCAGCGACGGCTTAGCCGTGACATCCAAAACCTGATACATGAACGTCCCCTCTTTATACACAATCTCAAAATCAAACGTCCTCACTGTCATCACTAGGGCAATCTTTAGCTGCATCAATGCCAACGTCTGGCCCAGACACATCCGCGGTCCCTTCTCGAACGGTCTCCATGCGTCGCGGGGGACAAAGTATGGATCTGTGGGGTCAGTAACAAGGTGCCGTTCAGGATAGAACCTCTCTGCATCCTTGAAGAGATCTTCCCGGCGCATGGTGGCGTAGTTGTTGACGAGGACTGCAAAGGGGTATGTGGGCCATTCTTTGCCGTCTGCGTGGAGGGTTTGGTCTGGTTGGCCGCGGCGGAGGCTGACGCCTGTTGGGGGCCAAAGACGGAGGGCTTCTTTGATGACGGCGAGGGTGTAGGGGAGGTTATTTACGAGATTGGGGTCGTTGCGGAGGAAATTTGCCGCGGCGGAGGGGTCAGTGCCGAAGAGGGCGTTGTGTTCTTGTTGGAGGGTGTGGAGGACTTGGGGGTGTTTGCTTAGGGCGGCGTATGAATACTGACTATTGTTAGTAGTGGTGGAGTAAAGACTGCGGAGAACGTACGCAGAGAGTGCTAGCTGAGGTGTCGTGGCCAGCGAAGATGAGCGTCTTGACAGAGGCGATGAGCATATCCCGCGTATATTTATCCATAGAGGCGGTAGGTTGGATGGTCTTGTTGAGGGTGCGGCTGGTCGCAATGGCGTCGTCGATGGCGTAGTATATGGCCTTTTCACTTGGAATAGCAGTCGGGCCGCTCTCGACTCGCTGGTCTACCAGACGACCAACGTAACGGTCTAGGGCACGTCCGTTGCTCCACTTCCGATAGTATCGGCGGGGGCTGATGTCGTAGAGATACCGAGACCAGAAGTCCTGAGGTGCCATGGAGGCCTGTTTCCGGAAGAGCTCGAGGAATTCATCGTCACCCCTCTGCGCGTTGCACTTCAGTCCCCTATACTGTGTCAGTTTATGCTTGAACGGCAAAAAAGGACGTGTAGCTTACAAGATTACCCAAGCCGAGATGTTGAATATCATCCTCGCACCCAGATCTTCCATTCTAAAAATGTCACTCCTTGCAGAATGTTCTCTTAGAACACCAGCAAAAGCCAGCGCCTCATCCACAATCATCGGAATATGCTCCAGCAGCTTCCGCGGCTGGAACCCCGGAGCGAAAGACTTGCGAGCAATGAACCAGTCATGTCCATTCGCAGAGACCATAGACTTCTCGCCAAGGATAGGACCGGTCCACTTCTGCATGACGGCCGACTCCTTGGGAAGATTCATCTTGTGGACGATCTGCATGGCCAGTTCTGGGTGGGCGATTACAAGCTGCGGCGGCGCGAGCGGCCACAGATCAAGGTAGAAGAAGTCACCGAGACCGTACCTCTCACGCATCAACTGCGCGAACAACTGTGGGGTTGCATCGGGTGGTAGGGTGCTTGCGATCTCTCGCATGATTAAAAAGTGACCCCATATAGCGTGATGCGGTGGTCCAGGGAGATTTTTGAACATGCCGCGTTGCTGGCGCAGTCTCACGAGGAAGTAGCTCGTGAGAGCGACTAGGACAAGAAATAGAGCGAGCATGGTTGTATTCAGGTGTTGAGGACCAGGGGTCGTCGCTAGTGGAGTAGATGCAGAGTTGGAGCGGTGAAGAGACTGCGAGGTAGGCCAGGTATTCAGCTCCAAACATACTGTTGAATATGATTCTATTTGAATTGAGTTAAAATCAAGTCTGTTGAGGTCTTATATATTCGATCTCAAGGGGCCAAGGCGGATTCTGCGATGGTTGTGTCGTAATATAGAATCTATTTCTGGCTTTCTGGGGCCGAGTACCCGTATACTAACAATAGCTTGCAGACTGCGATGAATGTCGGATGGGGGCCATGGGGTTGCAAGATTGATCTCACGCCTCTAGAAAAAAACAATGATAATCCTGGCATCTTGGTGGCAATTTTCGAAGCGATTTGTAGTTATAGTTATTTACTACTGTATATTTAGAACCTTGTGCAGAACCTCCTCAAGCTCAACGTCGCACCCATCTGCTTGATAATTTCCAAGCTCACCATGTTCGCCCTACGAGATGCAATTTACCTGATCGAACTGGCATTCTATGCCCCCATCGTCCCAGCTATTCTTTTCATCATTATACTCCATGGCAATAAGCACCCTTACACATGGCGTTCCATCGTGGTCCCCCTCATTATTCTTTCCGGCCTGCGAATCGCCGCAGCAGGACTCGGCCTAGCAGCCATGGACCCGGCAAAATCCAATCTCCTAACAACAGCCACCCTCCTAGACACAATCGGCCTCGCACCAGTCCTGTGTCTCTTGATAGGACTCCTGATTCGAGCGTAAGTTGACTCATCTCATCAACACGTCTTCTAACACCAATTGCAGCAACGCCCCCATATACAAAGGCCTCCCTATCTGGGTCTTCATCCCGCTGCACATCATCACCATAGCAGCTACAGTGATGACTGCATACGGTGGGCGAGACCTCTACACAAGCCGGGATAGTCAAGCGCAAGACCTCCGCTTGATGCGCGCTGGTATCATCCTCTTTATCGCCATTTTTGCTGCGATCGTCCTTCTTTCCATCATCACTATGCCCAAAGTCCGAGTGAAGGTCTACCGCACTGAATGTACGGCTGTTGTTTGTGTCTTGCTCTGTGTGCCCTTTATGAGTGTCCGCTTGTTATTCTCAGCTGGATCGTTGTTTTTGGGGAGCCAGTCTGTGTTGAACCCGATGTCGGAGAATGAGACGGGTGTTTGGCTCCATTTCCTTATGGTCATTGTTATGGAGTATATAGTTACACTCTCAGCCACGGCTGTTGCTCTGACTGCGAAGAGGGTGGTAGTACTGACGGCGGGAAAGTTTGAGTCTCTTAAAGATGAGGATGAGGAGACGTGAGATATGTCGTTGATGTTGGTTTGGAAGCGGATTGGGTGTTTGGTGTCAAGTTTTGTTTGTGTCTTTACTTTGATTGATATCACTTGGTTAGTCTTGTTTTGAAAATGCTCAATGATCCACTACATGATGCTTTGTCCGTATGTGCAATCTAGCTCATCCTTGGGTAAGTAGATGGCTTTAGTAACTACGTCGCATAGTGTGGCAACATATATTTACATGATGCGCTGATACAAACAATCTCGATGCAATAATACAACCCATTCAATCTAACTACACCTGATGTAACCGAGGGACATCTAAAGACAGAGAGTAAATAAGTTAACATAAGCTTCTTTCTTAATGTATGATCATATCAACTCAGCGGTGACAGCAATGTTCTCTGTGGTGCTAGGATAAAGACAAGATAGCCTAAACGGCCTACTGCTAGAAGGCTTCACCCGAGGCACATTACTATAGACCAGAACATTCACAAATGTGAGACCTCTGATTCCGCCTCACACCATGTAGGACCCTATACGATGAAGATGTAACATCAATGCTATCTAATAATAGACACGACACTCATGCGCCGCTAGATACGAAAACCGCCTCAAATAATCTTCTTCGATGCTGACCAGCGCTTTAGCAGCGAAGGGGAGGACTAGATGATGAGCAGCCTTGTGGGCAGGATCTCTGGGTTTTTGGCCCCATGGGGGTTGATAGCCACTCGATCCTGCGATATTCTAGTCATGAAGATATCCCACGCGAGGCACACATGGTTATTTTGATATACGAAGTAAGCCTCCGATGCTGCATGTTTTGGCTGCAGACTGCCCCAAGCTGAACGACCACGTAGGGATCACTGTGGGGTCCAAGGTTACCAATTTAGGACGCCTCGTGTTGGGGCTATCCTTAGCGGGAACGAGTCAAGATCGTCAAGATCCACTATGCCGGTTGGATTGCTCAGGGCCCCATATCATGTCGGATTTGATTTATTCGTGAGCAATTCAAATTCTCCATGAAGTAAAGAAATTAAGCTATTTCTGTCCGCTGGACTGTTAGACTATTGGTTGCTTAGTTCGTGTTGCTTGTTTTGCGATGGGGGCCATATCACCTCACGACCCTGTACACCGCAGCCCACCAAAGATGAGTGGTCTACTAATAGGCATTGAAGGCACGTCAAAGTCAATCACTTCTCACTAACCACTCATCTCAACTACTCTACAACATATCTCACAATGGAAACCACAAAACTGCAAATGGACATGCACAAGTCCAACTCCCGGCTCTACTACAAGCTCGGCATTCACACCCTAGGTCTTGTCCTTCGATCTGGAATCACGATCACAAGCCCCGACCCCAAAGCAGATGCAAAACTCCAAGTCACATCAGGCGTACATCATGGAGGGACCATCAAAGTCATCGTAGTACGTCTACCCAGCAACAAAACAAAACTGACACATAACTAACACAACCTAGGCCGGACTCCCCCGCACAGGCACAATGAGCATGAAGCAAGCCCTTGAAGAGCTAGGCTATGGCTCATGCTTCCACCTCGCCGAACCCCTCTGCCAATTTGACAACCTCCGCCAGAGTGCCGCCATCGTCCACACAAAAGACACAGCCCTCCGGCGGCGCAAGCTCGCCAAACTCTTCCAAGACTGCGAGGTCACCCTCGAGGTCCCCGGGAGCGCATGCCTACCCGATCTCCTAGAAATGTACCCCGACGCAAAAGTCATCCTGACAGAACGCACCTCCGCAGCCGTCTGGCTGCGCTCATGGCGCGGTTTCGGCATCGATCTGCGGTCTGACTGCTTTCGCTGGGTCGGGTACTGGGTTCCCGGCATGGTGTCGGCCAACGATCTCTACCGCGGGTGGATGCAGCTTTTGGCTGAGCGGCTCGAGGTCGAGCCTGAGCCGTCAGAGGAGCTGTACCATGCGTACAGTGCGTGGGTGAAGAGTATTGTCCCGCAGGAGAGGTTGCTGATCTTCAAGTGTCAGGATGGGTGGGGGCCACTGTGTGAGTTTCTGGGGAGGCAGAGGCCGAATCTTTTCCCGCATGGCAATGAGGCGGGCTATTTGCGGTATTATAAGCGGGTAGCGCTTGTGTTAGGCATTTTCCTGTGGTTGGTTGTTCTTGCTGTTACTATTTTGTCATTTTCTGTGATGTCTTTGCTTGAGTAGATTGCTGCTTTGTTTCTATTTGTTAGGTCTTTGCATCTTGTTTTGTGGAGCATGTATGCCAGCCTCGGAAATTTACTTTTGCTTAACTAATTTTAACTGATCTGCGATGCAGGCCCCGGGGCCCCCATTGTGTATGCGCAATAAATTACAGTATATTTCCAATATCCCATTGTTAATTGGCCCGAAGACTCAGGTCATGCAGGTTACCGAATCACTGACCGCCGCCATCTCATCTCCCCCTGAAATTGCCTGTAGTTTGCATCCAAATTATATATAATTCCTATTCTATAGTTCTGAATTCAGGGATCTTGCACTTCATCCTTCTTTCTGTCAACATTTCCTCGCCTATATTCGTCATAATCCTCTAGACTGAGGAACTTCCATTGTATATGTTGTGACCATGAAACAAATAACCCAACTGATGTGATGCGGTAGAGTACACTACAACGTGCAGCTTTCCGGGATATTATAGAGAGGTACTCATGAGGCTATACCAGAGGGGGGGTGCATCATCACACACGAGGGAGGATGAATTGCAAAGGAAATATATTCAACCGGAGATCAAACCAATGTAGTAACCGCCGAAATAACAACTGTGTAGTAACCGCCGAAATAACAACTGCAGCCGTGATGAACGCCCTCGCACGCTCATGAGCACCAGGCATCTTCGTTGCCTCAGCAGTAAACCTTTCCCCCACCATAATAACCAACTCATAGTACGAGCTTGTTTTGGTCACGGGCAGTTTCGAATGACCTTATCAGGAGGGTTTTACCGAAGAACGACCTAAAGTAGCAGCGGCCACAGATACATACTAGCCAGTCGGTCGTTAGGAGATGAACTCGCGAAGTCGCTTGTGTAAGTTCAAGACAAACTTAGTAAATTATAATGCCATTTAACTAGCGAGAAGTGAAAGAATAAGACCTCTGACAGAATAAAAGACATAGGAGGAAAAAACAATTCAGTTCCTAATATGCTCCTTCCCTAATCAGATCTCAAAACAACCATCCAGTCTAATCAGAATTGATAGTGCAGCGGGTGAAGGTAGCACCAGCTTTCTCAACCATCACGCCAACAAAGTTCTTCTTGTAGTCGGTGACAACACGGTACTTGCCGGGTACGCCGCCTGTTCCAATGGTCAGTCTCGGTCCAACAACCATATTCTTGATGACCTACCAGTCCAAGTTCCACCTTGAATGATAGGATACTCGCGCAGGTCTTTGGTGACGCCCTGATACACCTGGGTATTACCGTTCTTGTTACCGAATTTGTGCGGGTAGCCGCCGACGCCACGGTCATCCCACTTATTACACTCCTTGAACGCACTACCGACATCGTCCTTGGAGAGCGTGACGCCCTCACATGTAGCGCTGCCAATCTTCTTCTTCTTTGCGCGGGTGGCCAGGTCGCTGACAGTGTGGCTGGTGGATTCCTCCGCGATCCCAATCTCAGTCGCCTGGACGTTGCGCTCCTCTTTGTTACCCTTCTTGTCGCCGTGCTTGTCCTTGTCCTCTTTGTCTTTGCCGGTCTCAGGCTTGGGTTTTGTGACCCGCGTGCAGGCCGTATAGGCGCCACCAACGGTTGCACCGGTATGCTGCATCACACCGCGGAAGTCGCCGCGGTTGTCCTTGTAGTCTGTGACCACACGGTACTTACCAGGTACGCCTACACTAGTCAGCTTGTGGCAATGTCTTTACTGTTTGTAAAGCTTACCACCAGTGTACTTTCCACCCACAATAATGGGGAATTCCCGCAGATCGGTGCCATCCGGAATATTGTCAAATACCTTTTGATTGTTGCTCTTGTTACCAAACTTGGCCGGATACTTGCCGATGGAGCGGTCATCGAGCTTGCGGCACTCCTTAAAGGCCTCGCGGATGTCATTTTCAGACAGTGTGGTGCCGTCAGGGCACTGGAAGTCACTGAGTTTGGCCCGCTTGCTGAGCTCGGGAAAGGGAGAAGCATGAGCCAGGGCCATCAGTCCGTAGAGGACGATGGATTTCATGTCGAATAACATTCTGAGAGGCTGGTGCTTTGGACAATGGTCTAGAAGAAGCAATAGGCTGATTAGCCGGAGTAGATTGCTTTGATACAGCTAATGATGAGGAATCTGGCGATATTCTCACGGTTTTATATCTTTAGATTCAGCTCACATTTCTAAATTCTAAACTTGGAACACTGATAGAACATCTCATGATCGTCAGTCTGAGGCAATATTCAAGGCTGAGCTGCATGCATGAATTGGCCCCCTACAGAGTAAAGGGTACTAAAAATGCTTGGTACCTTAGACCCTTGGGGCCAAGGATTTGCCAAGGCTGGGGGCCAATACTGGGCCCTGGAATAAGCAACTACCACTAGTCCGGTCGATCAACACAGCCCACCTTTGCCTTACCCGCTTCTGCGCATCTCCCATGTGCTTTTTGTCATTTCTACTTTCCACACATTCTCCATCTCAAACATTCAATCTACCTAACTTCTTTCTTTGACACCATGGGAAAAGAAGACTTCATCCGACAAATCGAAAACTCCGTGGAGTTCAAATTCCTCGATAAAGTAGTCAAGGAAGATGTCACACCGCAAGATGCAGTCCAAGAAACCATCAACATGACCATGAACGCATTGTCCATTCATGGTCCAGACAAACACAACGGCGTCGGTCTCCCAGACTACAACATCTCTCTTGCAGTAATGGAGCTCGCTCAACGCCTGGAGCCATCCAAACACACTAAGCTGGTTGAGTTTATCTCTCATCTCCAGAAGCAAGTTGCCGTTGATCCATCTACGAACAAACCCCTGAGGGTCCAGGATGACATCCTCTGGACAGGCATGCCCTCATTCGGCTACACGGAGCTTGAGACGTGGTACGAGTTTGGCGGTGATTACAAAGGTGATTCCATCCCCCAATTTACACAGTCAGAACGCTAACACATTCAGACCCATGTGATGCAACCCTAGATTCCCAGCAACGAGGTCGCTGGGTGAATCTTAACGCTTTCCTCGCGCAGCTCACTCAGGCGGCAGATATTCACTATACACCTCCCAATGAAGAAGTGCCGTTTTCTCCCCTGGACACATCACTACGAGCCATCTGGACCATGGCGATGGCACTTGAAGGCCAGCACCCTGCGTTGCTCGTAGATACGGCGGCGATGGAGGCCGCTTGCCAGTGGTTCATATACGCTGCAGAGCGGCTGTGGGCGAATGTGCTCAATAGTCGCACGTATCCTGAGGAGTCTGGCGCTGGGTCTGGGAAGAGGTTTGAAGAGAAGGGCTGGACGGGCTATACGCGGGAGCGATGGGGAACCTGGGAGGATGCGCTGAAGGAGGCTCGGGCTGAATGCCAAGATGAGCGGTTAGGGAAGCTGATTGATGATGCTTTGGCGAGTGCGAGAAGGGCAATGGCAAGTCAATAGTAGGTAGACCCATTTATTTCTAGTGGATGTTCATTTAAATGCTCTGGTTGTGCAGTATGATGATGTCTATTTCTTTTCACTTTGTACGAGTCTAGCATCAGCCTGATCTGATTATATTCACATTCATCCAGTCTTAACTGGCTGTGACCCTGTAATCGTGTTAAGCGCCCAACACAAGGTGTCTAAGTATATTTTGTATGTGCAAGCGATACAAAAGATACATTTTGAATCCTATGGGTAATTTGAATCTACTGGTGTGACCCGCACTTGGCACGATTAAAGCTTGGAGTTATACGCAGTAAAAGGGGGTACACTTAGCATACATTGCTGTTAGTGGGAGGTAGAAATTGCGTTTTGTAGCCCTCGATGGATTGCGAGGGTCCCATTCGGGGTTCAAGCGCCGCTTGATCATTTGATCAGGTTCTAAGCCAGGCGACACGAAATCACTGCCATTTGGAGGACTAGAAACCAGCAAACAATTAGATTTGAATCTGTAACATATATGAGACAATGCCTTTCTCATACCACAGCATTTCAATCTGCTTCAAAATTCCCCTAAGCAATGGCAATCGACAATCTTGAATATCATATAGATGTTCATTATCGACCACATGGTGAAGTATACCGAATATCTACCATTCCAATTGTCAGCATCGACTCTATGCAGCGGAAACATAAAGCTTCAGCAGCATCGTATAGTGATTCACTTACCTGCTGGCGATCATAAGTGTAAGCCCTTCTCAACTTGTAAGGTATGGCTGCTTGGGACTTAGTGGTAGGCGGTTAGTCCAGTTGCCCATCTAATTGATTGCCACAATGGGATCAAGGGTGGCATAATAGTTTTGTTTTTTTACTTCATGCACGTGGCCGTTCGGATTGGTAGAAACTACTAAAAATTACATCAGACCTGCCCTCAATCCCAGGGATCCCTTCACCAACAATCCTAACAAGCGGACTCTGCCCACTGTTGCGATAATGCCTCCCTTTAGAATCTCTACTCCACCTTCTGTGGCGGTCTCGCTGGTCAAGTCACCTACGAATACCTCCGCTCTGCCACCAGTAAGTATAGGCTAACTCCTTGTTTTGGCCATGTCGCCTAAGGATTGTCAGTTTAACATTCCCCCTGGCTGGACCTTGAACCCATCAAGTCCTCATTATCAGGAAGAGTGGATAGGCGCCGACTCCGAAGGTCAAATAATTGCTCGATCCTATGGTCTCCAACCAGGACAGCCGGTTATGGAGGATAATAAGGGGTGGCACACAATTTTCCTGTCTAGCAATAAGTTCTATCTTTGGGGGCGGATGAACGACGAAGTCGAAGAATTTGTGTCTTAGGATATCCGCGAGATCGCTTCTTCGATTTCCCAGTCGGGGCTTAGAGAGCTAGCCAGAAAGCCTCTTATTTGACTTCTGTATGAAATATACGACTCTGATCACGAGGGTAAACACCCTAACTATTATATCTCTTTTTTGACCGATAGACTGCGCTGGAGAGCTCGAAGGGCTACACGGGGCCGGCCGTTCGCGCTGGCGATATAAGGGTTAGCGGAGCTCGGTGATCCGGATCAATAGTAAAAATTCCTCACTCGCAAGACGTACATGAGGAACAGAGAGAAAGAAAGAGTAGAAGCGCAAAAAACAGTTAGAAGTTGAAGCGGCGATGAAGGTGACTTTAAAGAAACACGCACGACGATAGTAATGCGCCGATAGGCCCTAAACCCGAATAGACGCTAAACTTTTCTGCGTAATTCATCGTCACCGAATTATACGGAGTATATCCTAAATTATCTCACAGCCTCACTTACAGTGCTGATTTGAGCCTCACGAACTACACTTTTGACAAGGCTATTTTGATTTTGTGGGGGGCTGAACATCCTTTGCAATTTATTCCCGACTTATATTTCAGCCCCAATAAAGCTTTCTTCTGCATTGCCGAGGGGCCAAAGCCTCGTATCTCTGGATCAAGCGAATGGACAAGCTCATGCCAAGCCTCCCACAATGCTTAATACGAGGGACGGGATTTCAGCCTGGCCCGAATGTTGATCCTACCTGAATGATTGGCCCCAATGTCGATCTTTGTCTGTTGGCAACGTGGCGCAGCGGCTGCCAGGTTGACAAGCAAGATACCCAAGAAGGATGTCCTACATGGATGATCCAAGGCCTGTTCGTCTTACTAACCGCTTCTCCTTCTTTGTCTTATGTCGTTTGTCCTCTTCAGTCAAGACAGAACAAAAAAAGTGACATTTCTACGGACTTGCAACAATGACCAACTCCCTCTCTGTTGCTACCTGCGCCATCTACGCCGTCCTTGCTATCCCAGTACTCTACCTTCTCTTCCGACACGGTCGCTACGGCCTTCTAGGATGGCTCTTCCTATTCTTCTTTTGCACCATCCGCATAATCGGTGGCGCGCTATCAGTCAACAACACCAGCGTCGCCGCCAATATCATCTCTAGCGTTGGTCTTTCTCCTCTCCTCCTCGCAACAGCTAGCATTCTACACGAGGCGTAAGTAGTAGTCAGTCCACAAATATGAGGTTCATGCTAAGTCCAGCAGTCGACACTATCGCATCCAATCCCTCGACAAGAAAATGGAATGGGCCTTCGTCCTAGCCTACCATATGCTCGTCGTCGCAGGCGTGGCCCTAACAGCTGCCGGCTCCGTAAAACTTCAGGAACACAACCAGCCCCTCGACAAGGCTAAGAATATTGCCAAGGCAGGTATTTCGATTCTGGCAGTCGCGTGGGGGGTTTTGGCTGGCTGGACCGGGTTCTCGTTTATTGCTCCCCGGGGACGGAATTCCTCGCTCACGAGGGCAGGGAACGTCGTAAGTACTCACCCCCCGCTTGTATCGGAGTGCTATGTTAATGTTTCGGGAATAGCTGCTTATGGCCATCGCCTTCTCGTTGGTCTTCATCGGCATCCGAGTCTTCTACAGTCTTGCTGCACTGTGCACGCAGAGGGCGTCGCTTAATCCCGTCACCGGGTCACTGGCTATTCGTGTAGTGCTAGGGCTCCTACCTGAGGTAATTGCCACGCTTGCATGTATTTTTGCAGGGTTCAGGACGCAGGGGGCGGCACTGTTGGCTCATGTCGAGGAGGAGAAGGTAGTTTCGGTTCCGCCGAAACCGTCTAAACCTTGGATTTAGCTGGCTTGAGATGCGTGCGCTGTATATGTGTGTCTTTTACTATACACGTAGATGATGAGAGTTTGCAATGATCAGAGGAATTATAACAGACCCTGACCACTTGCGAAATAAGAACTGGCAATTTGTCAACACGGGCAGCTACTGCCTTCACCATCAGCTTGGGCCACGAAATGCCTCGTCGAGGCTCTAAGTTTGTCCCAGTAAGTGGCACACTCTACGTATACATGCGCGGATATATATAATTGTGGTATCCTGCATATGGCTGTCGATGCGATGGGCAATGGTAAATGAAGTCATGCATACATACTACAGAGATGGAATTTAACTATTTGTGGTGTACAGGATGTTTTAGCATCATACGGCATTCTGGGTCTGGTGAAAGGCGTTTCAGAGTTCCCTATGGCTCGAAGTGGAAAGACAGACTACGCGGCTATTGTGGACATATTCGTCTCTTGTTCAGACCAACGCACCTGGCTCGATCAATCAATCAATCAATCAAAGTTCAATTAACCTGTTGCAGTCTAACTAGTTGCGTATGACTATGCAGGCGCTTCATCCAACTGAAGCAAGAACTCGAAGCCAAACGCCGAGCGGGATCTCTCCCAGAGTATACAGATACAGATGCTGATCGTAAAGAGTGCGGAATCAGCCCATTCCTGTGGCCTGTAAACCCATAAATCCAACCCCATCCAACCCCATACATAAGAAATTAACATATAATGATAGTTGTGGAGTGCACCCTCCCCTTCCAACCCCCACGCCACTCTCTCCTTCTCTCTCTCTCTCTCTCTCTCTCTCTCTCTCTCTCTCTCTCTCTCTCTCTCTCTCTCTCTCTCTCTCTCTCTCTCTCTCTCTCTCTCTCTCTCTCTCTCTCTCTCTCTCTCTCTCTCTCTCTCTCTCTCTCTCTCTCTCTCTCTCTCTCTCTCTCTGCACCCCTCCTGCCTCAGTTTCAATTAATGGTGACGTTATCCTGGCCAGTTGATTGGCATGCTTGTCAACTCTGGCTGAGCTCTCGTTTCACAGCATCATTTGTCGTCATTGGCTAATACCCATCGTCTTCCACACCTAGATCCATTGCCGCGAGGCCTGTCGGTTCGTCGTCGTCGTCCTCCGCCGTCACATATCGGAACTGTTAGAGGAGACCTGTTCGGTGCATGAAGTTGACCACGCAGCGGGTGGCCTGCAGGTGGGAGATGATCTTATCATAATCTATCTCCTTGATGCCAACTACCCACGGCTGCTCCCACAATTTTGTGCGTGGAATGACATATCGCGGACACTGCATAAGAATATGCTTTGGTGTTTGTGAGCTCTCGTCACAATTACACCGGTCTGTCTCGGCTGCCTTGATCTTGAACAAGAAGTGTCGAAGTCGCTCTCTTAGCGGCTGCGGCGAGGCGGATTATCGGTTCACCCAAGCCCTAAGTGGACCTTGAAAATCCGTCCCATGCAAAAAAAATCAAAGCAAAAAAGAAATCTCAGGTTTGGTTTTTAGGAATAGCCGAACGCGGGGGTCGAACCCGCAGCCTTAAGATTAAGAGTCTTACGCTCTACCGATTGAGCTAGCCCGGCCGGGCTGTTCGTGGCTTCATCTTATTTGAAAACTTAAGGCAAAATCATTGATATTTAGCGTACCGTCCTAAAACTTGATATCAATCACCCCACTGAGGATCACGATCATTTTCTCGATATGGGGGGCCACTCTCTTGAGCATCTAACGCTAGCAAGCTGTGTATCGAAGGAAATTCGTGCCCGTCAAGTCATTGGTTCCCCTCGTCTCCGTGGCCAGGTGGCATTGTTCTCCTCTTATACAGAATATACCCCTAATTGCGTGACGAGTGGGGATGTAGCGCAAAGTCTGACTCCATTAGGAGGCAAAAGTCCGTCTCTTATTGAAGTCGAGCTGTGGCAGAAGTACAATTTGTGGAAAGGATCAACCGCCTTTAACGTTATTATGTCTGCCGCCTAGACATAGCCATTGACGTGGTCAGATTGACTGAGGGATGGAACACTGTCCTTGCACGGCACGACATTTTCCGGTCTCTTTATTACACACATTGATCGCAGTTAGTCCGGACTATGAGAAGTTCGTGGTTCGTGTCCCAAGTGCGTTACGTCTCGGATATTGATATCCAACAAGCAATCAATTACGAATTCGATCTTTCTGAAGATGTTCCCATCCGCGTCTATCTCTCACTCTATCTGCTGATTCTGGTTGCTTCTCACATCATCCTAGCTCTGACATCTCTACAGACAGTTCTACGGGAGGTGGAACTAATCGTCAAGGGCGGTCCCACCAGTGACCAGACGATATAGTGATACCACATGCTGGAATCGGGCTGTCGCTTCAAACGACCTCGATTTCTGGAATTCTTCACTGCGTGGTTTGCCTTTCTATCCAACCCGAAACGAACCACATTCCATGGGGTATCCCGGGTGTATAAACCCCCCGAACACGTCATGTCAAGCATGACAGAGTACGGTGTACGGTACGGAGTCACATTCCATCAGCTCTGTCTCGCCGCTATTTCACTATGTCTGTGTCGAAATAGACCCTCGGATCAGCCAGTGGTATTGGGAGCGCCATTTCTCAACCGAGGATTGGATGATCTTGACGTAGTTGGCCTATTTCTCGAGCCATTACCTATCCGCGTGATGCTCCTTCCGATGGACTTGGACTCAGCTATGTACGCGACACGCAAAAGTCTAGCCGGGATTCTCTCTTTCTCACTCGATCCCATGGCATGCGTTGTTAGATCATTTTGACATTCATCCAGATCACCCCGATGTCCCTTGTATCGAGGAATGACATTCCATGATCATCGAGCAGTCCGTGATTTTGACGTTCCTGGAGTAATACCACCACCTACTGAGGGCCTGGTGTCAGGGCGCAACGTTCAACTTCATGATGGAAGTTTGTGCCCAGAAAGACGGCTCCCTCTTTATACGCATTGAATATGACGATGGGAACTACGAGGCTATCAAGATCGATACTGTCCAGTATTCCATCGTGTTGGTGCTCATGGAATCGACTAAGGGTTTGGATATTGCGGGTATTCAGGCAAAATTAGATAATGTGTCTGAGATTCCACCATATATGGGTGACCAGTAATTTTCTATGCCAAATTTAGATGTTTCATCAAGGACACATAATAGTTGAATACAAAAGCCAAGGTCTGAGTACTCCAGATCCTTTTTACTAACTCGAACCATCACCCCAAGCCAACCTTCCCGTCCTTTCCAAGCCCCCAAGCCAGAAATCCACTCGCGTTAAACGCTCTCCTGTTCTCCGCAACGCTCTTTAAGTACTCAAAATCCCAACACCGTCTCGCAAACCCAGCACCCAAAAACCCATGCTCCGTATCAACCGCCGGCTCAAGCGTACTATCCGCCGAACAGGTAATCGCCTGGGCAAGGTAATCAAAGCAATGCGCTACATGGACAGAGCGGTTCCGACCGAAGTCGAAGCGTTGGAGCTCTGATTCAGGTGTATAATAGGCTCGTCGGAGGAGGTAGAGGCAGTGGAGCTGGTGGAAGGCGGATGGGATTACCACAGAAGAGGACTTTGGCTTCGAGGTGTTTGTGGCTGCGGGGATGAAGTAGCCCAGTCCGTCTGTAGATTGTGTTATTACCATATCTTATATTAGGTGCTGAGATGAGGTGCTGGAAAGAACATACTAGGTATTAACGCATCCCATATAGGCTCTGAAGCGTTCCCCTCCCGCGGTGGCTCCTCTGTGAAAGGAGATTTATGTTTGAATTTGCCTGCAATTTGGGGGAGCGGGAGGTGAGGCGCTATTGGTAGGTCTTCTACAGTCCCGGATTCATAGCTGCACGTTGTGGATGTGGAGATGAAGAGGGTGAGTAATACACCCACTATGAAAGCGGTTATGAGAGAGACGACGAAGCATATGATGTGTGGGACTGTGAACTGTCTCTTTAATGGTTTTGCAAGATGAGGTCGAGGCTCCTCTCGGTCTAAGTCCTCATTGGCATTTGAAAGAGGCTTATACTCGTGCTCTTTTGCAGTTATCAACATTACTGTGTTAACTAGAGCAAGGTTTTTTTTTTCAAAAAAGAAAGAGAAAGAAAAAGTGAATTCGTAATTTGAGGACGTCAGAATTGAAAATACGCCTAAGCTCCAACGCTTCGACTTCGGAACCGCTCTGTCCATGTAGAAGGCCGACTCGGATGTTCGGGTCAAGTCAGAGTATCCCTTGCTTTACGCCAACACAGTCAGAGCGGGTTGGACCGTCTGTCAATCGCCTAGGCATGGATGGTATGTCATCTATTTGATGGAGACCTGCATAGGCCAGTTGGAAATGGCCTGTTGGCGCTGGAATGTATCATAATGCAGGACTCTGCTATTTAAACATTAAATACTCCGTAAAAGGTTGATCCAAGCGCCCTTCTAGGATTGCGTCACTTCGGATCACATTTGCAAGGGTAAGAAAGGCTGTGAGTGTGTAAGGCGGAACACCTTGCATATTCTTTTTAGGGATCTACATACTATTACTGTACTAGTCACCTGTAGGTAGAAGAGGGGTGTGAATCATGCCCTCTGTAGACGCCCTTAACTGGCTGATCAACATGCACCCGGGTTGAACTGGAAGTATGCAGTACTATGATAACCAAACTACGATATTTATGACATTCCTTTCCTCGTGTTCTTGAGTAGGTATATTTAATAACGTCAAGTTGCCCTAGGCCACGGTCTATTTAGAGCAATCTCCAACTTTCAGAAATATCATCTTTGACCGTTCTATCCTCCATACAAACGAGTCCCCCAACCACCCATCATGCGTACATACCTCTTCCTCCTTACCTTCCTGGCCACCTTGGGATTGGCTGCACCCACATCCACTGAAAGTGAGTATATCCCCAAGGAGAGACACATCCTGCAAATGAACAGGGCTAACGGATGCTCTCAAGACACTGCGGTTTCCAGATCCGCGATGATCGCCAGAGAAGAGCAGGGAGCCAACGAAAACCAGGGAAATATCAAGTGGAATAGCAAAGACGTGGTTGTCGCAGATGGGTTTTAAAAGGGTGTTTCTCTGGCAAATCCTGGAGTTCTCCAAATGTACCTACGATCCGACTTGTTCCCTTGATTAAATTATCAGAGCCAATTCTAGTCCTAGCACTCCGTACTCTGTACAAAAGATCTCCCCCTACGTAACATCCTCTATACCTCCCCAGCCCCTGTTGCAATCGACTCTTCGGGCAACCCCACCAAAACCTCCTCCGTGGGCACATACCCCTCATCAACCACATAGCCACTCCCCTCCGGGCAATGCATAAACCTCTTCAACCCAACCTCATCCCCGGGCTTCTCAGGGCGCTTATAGCAAGCCGTATGAGCTTTCGCCCAATTTTCCAACTCCCCCCAATTCCTACAAACTCGATGCTGCCCAAGCCCACTAACAACCTCGGCCCTTCTCTCCGTGGCCCTGGGCGTATCATCCGCATCACATAGCGTCTGGCGTCTCAATGCATCAAGACAATGCGCGATATGGTGCCAGGTCCTCGATTGTTCCTGGCCGGTCCGAAACTCGAAAAGGCTGATGTAGATAATCTTCAGACAGTGCAGGTTGTGGAAGCCGTGGAGGATGTAGATTCCTTTACTGGTGTCCCAGGGAAAACGTTGCGCTGTACGAAGATTATGAGATGCGGCAAAGGAGTCGGGGAGGGCGACAACACCGCTGTCAATGTTTATGGAGTGCCAGAGGGTGTCGGCTAGGGTCGTGTTGTGGGAGTAGTCGGTTAGGAGGACGTAGGGCTCTGTGTGAGTGTGATAAAGGTTGGCGTATGTTGATGGGAGTTGATAAGGTTTGGGGTTTGAGACGATGATAGAGAGGGTGATTATGTTGGCAGTGAGGGATAGAAGCAGGATGGGAACTAGGATGAGGAAGCGACGCCTGTAGGGGTCCTCGCTCCTAGGACCATTTGGTATGTCCGGGTTCTGGGTCTTGTCGATATCGTTGAGAAGACCGGTGCATTCTTCCTTGTCCTCAGAGGGTATTGACATTGTAAACAGACTCTTCCAGAGTTAACTAGATCTTAAGGATTACAAAATTCAGTAGATTAGAGGGACAACACGATCTCCGCTAAAAGTTCGCGACTGCTAGAAAATCAAATCAAGTACCCCCCCCCCCCCCCCCCGGCATGCTGCAGCACGCCCCCCCTGCAGTTACTCGAAAGTCTTGCCCCGTCATGTTCCAAATCAAACCAACTGAGCCTTTGCCCTTCCGGGCCAACTTTATCTGTAAGCCGCTCGATCGAGTAAACATGCCGAGCTTGGGGTCATTCCTGGATGCCTCCCTTGGGTTTGTACAACATATAGCCATTCCTGAGATCATTTTGGAGTCATAAGCTTCATTTCTTTTACTAGCGAACCTTTTTTTTTTCGTCATCGCTAGTGCCTGATGGGTATACGAGCTCATTCTTCTTGCTCCACTTGATCGGTATCTACTATATACACCAAGGCTTCAGAGACAAACTTCAGCGGAAGCGCATTTCGGCGAATATCCAACAATGGCATACCACCGCGCCCTCCCACTCGTCAACGACCGCCCGGGGTTAATAGTCATGACATCGATATTCTTCCTGACGGGGATATTTGCAGTACTGCTCCGCTTCTACTCCAGACGACTCACAAAAATACCCCTGGGGCCGGATGACTGGTTTGCGCTGTCTTCTCTTGTGTGTCCCCCGTATAACCCCAGAGTTTACAGCGACGCTATACTGATGTCGAGGCGAACAGTTCTTCGTCCTCATTCTAAATGGAATATTCCTCTCGGGCATAATACAAGGCGCAATAACCGGTCACTCTATAGTTCTAAACAACTGGCCCCAACCCAGCGAGCTCGAAGTCCTAGTCCAAAAATACAAATATGGTTTCCAGACAACAGAAAAAATCGCCTTTGGACTAATCAAACTCTCCATCCTGTTCCTGTGGAAGCGCATGTTAAGTCCCATCCGCTCTTTCCAGCTGTTTTGCTGGGTTATGATTGGGGTCGTTGCTGCCTGGAGTATCTCTTTCTTCTTTGCGACTGTGTTCCAATGCGGGACGAACTGGGACTGGAACTGGGCGCCGATCAAGTTCTTTTTGACCGAGTGTACTGATACGCTGAATATGCTGACGGTGTTTTGCGGGACGGATTTGCTGACGGATTTTGTGATTATGTTTATGCCTGTGCCGATCATCTGGAAGTTACAGATGTCGGTTAAAAAGAAGATTGGGGTTACGGGTGTGTTTATGGTCGGGATATTGTATGTTCTTTCTCACGTGGAAAGAGTCGGATGACCTGATGCTAACCTTGCTCATAGCACGATCGGCGCTGGAGTTGCGAGGACATACATCTATCTCGTGACGTCTTATGACAAGGAGGATAACCCTGATTTTATTGCCGATTTCACCCTGTTTATCCTGTGGTCCGAGATTGAGGTGAATGTGGCTATGATTGTTTGCTGCATGCCAGTCTTTGGACCTGTTCTGGGCCAATGCCGCGATACTCTATACCGTCGTTTTGGTCGGTCAAACGATGGCGAGTTTGGTCTCCTTGGACATTCTACATCGGCATCAACGAATGACGGGAAGACACCACTCACAACTTTCAGTACTTCAAGTGGGTCCTATGCACACCGTGACCAGGGGTCTTACGAAGCAAAATTGGATGGTCCGGCAGAGCTCGGATATAGAGTTGTGAGGATGTAATATTGATTGGGAGAGACATATTTCCAGGTCATTTTATCCGTGACTATAGCTCAAGTTTTGTTTTCTAGTTTAATGAATGTAATGTTAATTCCCAGGAAGATTGCAAGTAATTAGGTTTAATACATTGGGCGGCCTTGCGTTTGCATGTAACTAGCCGTCAACAAAGAAAACGCAAAAATACAAGGCAGCTAGGCGCCGAAGCATGATCGTCACACCCGGCAGATCATCCGTACGGATATACACATCCCCCCTTGCTGCACCTTAACTCTCAACTTTCCTTATCTTCTCACTCGTGGGGGATACTCTAAGGAACCTTAGACCTCTGACATCTCGCCGTCATGGCTAACCGTTTGTTTGCGTCTGTGGTAGCTGTGCTTCTGGCCATTATCGCAATATATTATCAGGAACTTTGCGATACATTTTTTCTAAGCTCCAGCATAAAGGTAGTGGACTCGGCGCGAGGAATCTCTTATCTTGGCAGTCTATCACCTGTGGGAGTTGAGCATTTCCAGAACATTTTCTACGCGGAGGAACCCACAGGGCAGCGGCGTTTCGCACCGCCAGTCCCAACGAGACCAGTAAAGGGATCGGTCATTGACGCAACCCGGGCTGGTGCCTGGTGTCCGCAAGCGACGGGGGATATACTTCCGTTCACAAGTAGGGTGACCAACATTAGCGAAAATTGTCTGAGCTTGAGAATTGCGAGACTGGCAGGAACGCAGGAAGATGCTAAGCTTCCAGTTGCAGTTTGGATCCATGGAGGTTAGTCGGTTGTTTGGGAGGATGTAAGGCTCTGGAGATACTAATGAGCAGACAGGTGGCCATGTTTTAGGCTCAGCTTCTGATATTCTTTACGAACCTGACGGCTTGGTAAATCTGGCGGCTGCTGATGGACAGCCGCTGGTGTATGTTGGCATAAATTATCGCCTGGGCCGTAAGTGATGCGCCAGGAGTCCTTGAAACCTTGCGCCGAGATTGTGTATTGATTGTTGATTCCTGTTCAGTTTTCGGTTTCGCAACTAGCGAAGCATTGATTGAGAGAAAAGACACAAATGCAGGGCTTCGGGACCAGCGTGTCGCTTTGGAGTGTATGTATCTCGCTGCTCTTTTATCACACCATGAGAAGCTGAAATGTCGAGAAACCAGGGGTCCGCGATAATATCGAGTCATTCGGCGGTGACCCTAACAGAGGTATACTCAAACTACCATTTCCTGTATTCAAACACCGATATGCTGACAGGCTATATTCTAGTGACTGTCATTGGACAAAGCGTGGGGGCCAGTGACATTGGTCTACAGCTGACGGCATTTGGTGGTGATCAAGACGTTCCATTTCAGCAAGGAGTGTAAGTGAGTCCAAGCCTGAAACGGTGCAATGCTGATCCACGGCCCTAGAATGATGTCTGGTGGTCCAGGCCTGAACTTCAACAGCCACCCAGACCTGGTTGCGAGTCACACGGCTGCTATTGCACAGCAAGTAGGATGTGGCAGCAACCAAGATTTGCAGACGCTGGAGTGCCTTCGAGGTGTTCCCTTTGAGCGATTGGCCAACCTATCCGTCACTGCATCTCGCGCAGCCCGTCCGCCTTTAGGCGAAGGGTACTTTTACCCAACGATCGATGATGACTTCATTCAAGATAGACCCTCGGAGTTGACGCGCGAAGGAAAATTTACCAAAGGAATCCCCTTGATAGCTTCCTGGGTCACCAACGATGGCGCTTGGTACGCGCCTCCAACCACTGCGACGGACGACGAAGTTCTAGGGAGTTTCGGATTATGGCTGCACAAGCTTTCCCAATCTACGAAAGAGAAGCTGCTACATCTGTACCCTCTGGAGGACTTCGAACACATGATCAAGCCAGAGCATGAAGGTCAGCTTTCACCGCAGTACTACCGCGCTGCACAGCTGAATCGCGACATCTGGTTCACTTGCCCGGTTCTTGACTTTACATGGCAGTATGTCAAAAATGGGGGTGTGGAAGCCTCCCAGGTACGGCTGTTTGAGTTCAACCAAACCAGATACATGCCAGTCTTTGATTTCATGGGTGTGTCAATGTGGGGTGTAGCTCACCTCAGCGATATCCCCTACCTGTTCAACAATGACCACCTAGGGGCCGGTGCAGATAACTCGGACGCTCAGCTTGCGCTGGCTCGCGATTTCAGTCGGACTATTATTCAGTTCGTGCATGGCACCCCTAAAGGGTCAGACGATCGGCTCCAGTCATGGCCGCCTGCGTTCTCGAATGAGTTGTCGAAATCTTCAATAGGCGACCTGCCTAGTCACATCTCGGTACAGCTGTTTGGTGGACCTCATGGCTCAGCACCCACTAGATGTAGCGAAGGCATTGGAGCTGGCATGGAGGTCATGACCGACGCAGAGAAAGCGCTTCATTGGGAAAAGTTGTTCAGTCGCTGTGCGTTTCTCAATGGCCAGCAATTTAGAGAAGAAGCAGGGGTTTGATGAAAAGGCCCCATTGACCTCCCTCTTGTGATAGTATTGCAGTTCAGATTACCTACATACTCGTCACTCTTAGGTAGATATCGACCATCTTCTTATCAGTCAATTTAACATGCAGCTATCAAAGCCACGTTACGTTCCCATTCTGATCAATTGTTCGTACATTATTCCTGCTGTCTCGGTTGGGGGTGGAAAGTCCTACTTTCTTCGTAGTGATAAGAGGATAAAGTTGTGTTGAGGACGCCAGGGCTACTCGATGACTCCCACCCTATACACAACTGAGTGTCACGAGGGTTTCTCGTCCACCACCCAACCCTTCACATTTTCTACAGTTTGGGCTTTTTGCTGCCTTTTCATCTTTCTATCTACATATATAAGCTAGGAGGGGGGAGATGCCTTAAGAAGACGCCTGGGAAGAATACATGAGAAAGCCGCATAAGTGGCTGACTATTCTTACATAACTATAGTCAAGTAGGATTCCTTGAAAGTGCAGTTTTCGACTCCGCTTTAGCATAACAGCACGAGGCTAAGGAAACGGCTTAGCTTTGTGTCAAATCAGAATGCAGTTTCGACTCTCAATATCAATGTATCTCCCAGATATTCAATTTATGGTTTTAAGATATAAGGTGCGAGATTTGGACACCAACTACTTTTTATATGGTGGTCCTATACAGAAAGTACTTAAGAGTCAAATAGACTCTGTACTAATGAAAATCCCATTTAGTTCGCAGTAATTAACATGAATTTGGGATGATTTCACCGCTAAGCCTCATCCATTATGCCAAGATATGCTTAGCCTGCATCCAGATTATATACTCCGTAGAAGGGGCGGGATTTCAATTCGGACTGTGTTTAAACTGCTTCAACTTGCTTCCTCCGGAGGAATCCGTTGCTCTCTCCATTTCTCCGTGATTCCAACCATGTTGTCATAACAGATTGTATATTACATTTGGGGTTTTATTATTTGTATCTACAGGGGTATGAGCCCCGTAAACATGACCTTCTTACCAGGCGTTGAGAGATTAGACAGTTTACATCTTTTGATCATATACAAGATTTCCGGATGCCTTAGGGTCTGTAGTCGAACATAACTGAGTTACATAAAGACTGGAGGCTACTAATTTCAAGTAGCATTAGAAAGCCATAGGGTATAATGCCGATTAAGTGATGAAATAATAGGGCTAGTGTGTCAAGAAATACGTTTTATAGGAGATATAGATTTGGTCGCTGGCAGAACTATAGTCGGTAAGTCATAATTCCACAAATTGAGCACAATAAAAGAGCACGGGGGCGGTGTACAGACCGTAAAGAATAGCAAAGTCTTGCACACGAATTCACCTTAGTGATGTGAGTGACTTCAAGTATTACTTTGCAAGATCTTTTCCCACAATACATACTTTATGTAGTTTCTATACTCTACGTTTCAACAGTGCTAACCAGGTAATCGCGCCAAGCGCCCAACTCTCGCGCTTAGCACGAATGAAAAAAAAAAACCGCCAAAAACAGTGGGCCCGAGCCCGGGATTGAACCGGGGACCTCGCGCAATATTGCTTTGGGTGAACCCTAAGCGCGAATCATACCACTAGACCACCCGGGCGATTGATATGGTTAGAGTTTACCTATGTAAATGGTAGAGATATGTAATATAATACAAGTTCGACCCCATAACTTTGTGACGATATGGTTGTCGTTATCGACCGCCCTAAGGAATTTCCTTAATAGACCTTGCCAACTCCTACGGGACTACGAAAATTTTGGTCTCATATCCTGGTCCCATCAGTACTCTAAGCCTATTTAGGTAATAATATTATTTAAATTGGTAGTGATAGCCGATCTATGCATTGATTTTGACCGCCAAGACTTTCTCATGGGAGTGGGTCTATGGGAGTTGACAAGGTCTATATAGAGAAGAATCCTTATAGAACACTTCCCTTTACTAAGTAGTAATTTCTAACTATATAGAAGAAAATTGTTACGTGCCAGTTCGATCAATGAAGAAAGGGTGCATTCCAGCTAGAATATCAAAGATAGAGAAGAGGAAGAAAGAAGCAAGTGGCAAATCCCGGGGAATCTTATAGCAGAGTATCCCACGAAAGCAAACAACCTCTTTCCCAATTAGGCTTAGTATCAATTTAGAAACAAAGAAAGAAGCAACGGCAAACAATCTGGGAGAATCATGTGGCAGCATGTGGCAGGAGAAGTATGAGATAGCAGATCGTAACAAATATAATACATTATCCCCCTCTGCGATAATCACTCGCCTAGTCAACAGGTACTAACTAGCCTGACCGCTTAGTGTTCTTTACTCTATGTACTTACAAAAATTACCCGTAGGCGTATAGGATGGTACCCGTCTATGGGTATGTCTATAGCAGGCATTACTAGGGCCCGTGGGCAACCCGCACGTCTATAGGCAATGTCGCAGTCAGGCCTACTAATACGGGATATGTTAATGGGCTTGCCACAATCAAGTCTTGACCTCCTTCCCGGTATAGTTTGCTGATCGCAGCGAAGCAAAATAAAAATAGAAGAGGAATCGGCCCGAGCCCGGGATTGAACCGGGGACCTCGCGCAATAATGCTTTGGGTGAACCCTAAGCGCGAATCATACCACTAGACCACCCGGGCGATTGATGTGAAAGGATTCTTGTAAGAGAGATAGGAACATTTTATAGACGGCCTACCTACTAGTTACCAGCTTAGGTGCATTCCTAATTAGGTACATAGTTGGCTACCGCTCCTACCTTGACACTTCGTTCTGCTACCAATCTCGGAGACGAGTAAAGGCGTAAATCTCGCACAATAGACATATGTTATACAGAGTAGATAAGTATAGAGATCAGAAATAATACGTAAATTTTTATGAAAAATGCAGGTTTTTTCACACCATGTACATTGCTTTTAGTTGACGTATTTCACATGCGAGTGGTTCACACAAGCGAGTGTGGTCCACGCCAAAACACATAGTAGAGGCGATAAATTACAACATGTTAGTGCAACAACAGTCTTGTAGTTATATAGCCTGTTTCTTACAGCCTAGTGCTGTTTACGTGATGTCTAGTCACTTTACATATTTTAGGGGAATTTAATAGGTTGATAATTGAGAGTATATATTTCTAGAGTCCAGCGACGTAATTTTTAATACCACAACAATAGAAGTATTCGATTCGTTCAATATTGATGTACAAAATTAAACATGTCTATTAACCATTATCGGGAAGTCATGAAACTAGATAAAAACGTTGGTTGTTGAAATATAATTGACAACTATATCGCTTTTATTATGTGTTTTGGCGTGGACCACGAAATACGTGAACTAGTTAGTTCTGGCAGAATAATTGATGCCTTATTTATTAGGCAACAAACCACGGAAATCTTGTCTCCTTACTGAGATGTCCCACTCCACAGGGAGGGGCCTGTATACCAATACACAAAAAATATAGGAAAAAAAAGGGCCCGAGCCCGGGATTGAACCGGGGACCTCGCGCAATAATGCTTTGGGTGAACCCTAAGCGCGAATCATACCACTAGACCACCCGGGCGAATTGATATGGGGTTAAGTTCCAGGTAGACTATTCAATATCAAAGTATGCGAGCTGCAAAAAACACCTTAATCTAGATCAAGCTACTAGAGCCACGAAGACAACGAGATAGGCACTGTAGTCATCTATGGTATCAGTTCGACAACTGGAGGACCAGTGAAAGCCTTATTATATGACACAGAGTACACGCCAAATTCTCATACCAACTTAATCTCCCCATGGTCGGATCCTGGAGGGCTCATCTAAATTCAAGAATATGTGCATTGAGACAGCTGATGGAAGACCGATCCTCAAACTTCACTAGGATCAGAATCTCACATGGTTGACACAACTAGCCAAGAAAGAATAACTAGTGCGAACGATTGAGCGCAACAGGCGGATTTGATCGTTTCGTTTTTGCGCCGAAAGAACTATGAAGGGAATGATGAAGGAGGAATCATAGAGTGAGAAAAAAGGAGTCGACTCGGACTTGACATATGGAATGATTTGTGAGAAAAATCCGTCTATCACCAGCCATAAAATTTATGGCCTAGAGGGGGGTATATCTGTTATGCTTCTTGTCTGACACACCTAGGAGAGGTTGGTGTCTTGTATTGGGCTGCCCTATCCAGTATGTACATATCTATGATCATAATTGTCGTTTTGTATCAATGAGACTTGTAGGGATTGGGTCTTATTCCTGTATTTCGACCTGCAGCTGTGAATCCTGTTCCAGTTGTGCGATTCGCGTGTGCAGCATGATTTGAAGTCGCTATGGCTATCAAAACGGTAATCTGAACGGAGAGTCCTGAGGACAAGAATACTTTTCGATATTGCTAAAGCAAATATCTTTTTTTTTTTGTGGAAATTGCTGACGTTGGAGTTGGATAGCACTTGGATGTAGATGAAGTCAGAGAAAACTGAAGTTCAAGTTATAGAGAAGGATCGACGGATTTTTGGGACTTGACCTAAATAGAACGTACGGTTTGAATGCAAAGTCTATAGTTACTTTCTTTTATACATCTCAACTAGTTAGTCATACACAGATGGCCCGAGCCCTGAGATATCAGACCCTGAATGTCTATATCTATTGGAATCTTCTTCTTTCCCCTCATAGATCTCTTCCATCACCCTTGCCCACATTTGTATCTATTATAACGGGTTACCCCAACCATCCCATCGAACTATACACATGCTAGAAGCTCTGTGGAACCGAGTGATCAAGACTTATTTAGAGACCATAAAATTGGCAAAGTAACACACCTTCCATGGTAAGGGTCACTCTAACATCAACAGCCGGCGAAATAGGCGAGTACACGCATCTATCTCACAAAAACTAAGATAACTTTCGAGTCCATAAGCCAAGGGCATTCCCAATATGCAGTCCATTTTGATTGGAATGATGTTTGCACCCACCCTACAATAAATAAAATTACAAGCACGTCTTACACTACGCTAGGTCTTCAAGATCAAATATGACAACATAAAGCGAGGCTCGCGCGCATATCCGTAGATGCCGTCAGCTTAAATCATTAGACTTCCATGAAGTCTATGCATTACGAGGCCAATGTCTTTTAAAATATTTACTACTATTGCTGGGAAAGGCTGGCACCTGCACTATGTGGACATTATGACTACCTTCCTTTGATGCCGAGCTGGAGGAAGGCCGCTCTGCCTGGGGCCCAAAAGGAAGAATTCCCAAATCATATTAAACTGCTTTTGGAGATTATTTATGACCTAACACAATGCTGTAGACTATCTGCTCATTTCCAGGCTACGAATATCCAAGTCGATGCCTCGAGTCTAGATATATTTAGCTTGGAACTCAATATGCTAGATAGATATAGAACATAGGATTTACCAAAAAAAAAAAGTACCTGTATGGTGTACAGTATTCATGCAGTGTAGTATGTAAAAACATAATCTCAAATCTGTGGGTATGGACATCGCAAAGTGCGCGAGTCTTGTTCGGCGACAGAAGCATTCAACACCAGAAGCTGTGTAGAGCGCCACACATGTCTACATAGGGAAAACCCCCATGCAGGGAATATGCAGGTCTGGCCATCCTCTTCAGAGGCCCCTTAATCAGATTTGGGTATCATTGAAGACATTGACAAAGTCCAAAATCATCCATTACCCAATTCACTCCCTTCAGCTTGAACAGACTTATCACGCTCAGCACCAACCGGCTGCGTCTCACCCATCGGGAAACTGAGATGTTTCCAATCCTCAATCTCCTCAATAATACACTTCAACCGATCCCGTATACTCTCCACAGCATACGTCCCCAGAACCAGCCTCAGAGGCGGGTAAGAGCAATGACCAAGCTGCCAGACCAAATGCGCCGCCTTTACCGCACTAGCAGGCTGTTTATCACCCAGCCACATGAGCATACGTCGTGCATGCGCCGCCGGAGATGTAGTCGTATTATACGGCTCACTGGGCGGCTTCACCAAAAAATGGCCGTAGAGCGGCAACGGCGACGACAGATGATGCTCGGAGGGGTTAGTCGCGAAAGCCCCCGGAGAAACAACATCCCCATTATCATCACGACGCATATGACCCGGCTCTACAAGTGTACCCTTAATATTAAAGCTGTCCACCTCATACAGCATACTCTCCATCAAGCCCTCGACGGCATATTTGGAGGCGCAGTAGGGTCCGAGACCCGGCACGCCGAGCGCTCCAGACGTCGAGCTAAAAATGAGGTATCTCCCCGCGCGACGCTGGCGGAAATGCGGTAGAGATAGCTGGATCATGTTCAGGGTGCCTGTGAAATTTGTTTCGAATTGGTTGCGGATGTCGAATTCATCCTGGTCTTCGCAGGCGCCGATCACGCCGTAGCCGGAGCAGTTTGCGATTATATCGATTCGGCCGAATCGCGTGATTGTCTGGTCGATTACGCGCTTGACGGTCTCGCGCGCTCGTACGTCGCATAGGAGTCCGATGCAGTTTGCTGATTCGAGCTCTTTCATTGATGCGGGGCTGTTCTCGTATGTGCGTCCCACTGCTGCTACTAGGTCATTGTTGGCGAGGGCGGTTTTTACTAGGGAGCGACCCATGTGGCCCGTTGCACCGAAGATCTGGGGAGGTGTGTTAATGTGTTGAATGTGACTTTTGTTGCTCGGGGGAGGGGTTGTATACCAGCCATACGAGGGGTTTGGCGGGGTTCTGGGGACCGGGTGGATCAGTCGTTGAAGGGAGATGGAGTCTTGGTTCGCGTGATACTGGAGAGGAGGGCCCTCCTTTGGGGGAAGTCTGTTCCATGATGTGGCTCTCAGATGAGGGGAGAGGGAAAAGATGGAGCTCTCTCCGCATTTGGGGTTTCTTCTCTACGGAGTATATTAGCGACAAATGTGTAATAAGTTGAGTTGCCGTTAACTATTCTCTTTTTTTTTTTTTAGGAAATTTACTATTATTTGTTCAGTCTTTACTTGATATAATGCTATTCCATTACCTATAAACACACTAGCTAAGCACAATTATTGTCCCACCTCCCGTCGCAGCCGTCCCGCAGCCGTCGTAGGTCCTGGTTCCGGCCAGCTGCCCACTGCATCGTCAACCTCTTCCAAGAAGGTTGTACTGTTGTGAATGGAAGTACCGCCCAGAACGACTCGCACACCAGGGGAGCTGGCATTGACCTGCGCTACCATCTTGGCCTCCTCGTACGTGGTACCACCAACCATAAAGATGATGATGTCTTGCGGTTTGTCCCGCGTGTGTCCACTGCCCTCGAGGAAGGGGTATTGCAATTCCTTCAGGCGGCCTTTGATAAGATTTTGGAGAGTTACTTCCAGTCGGGGGGAGTGTTGCGTGTAGACGTTCTCGACGCCTTTAAGACCCTTGAAGCGGTCTCTTGCGCCGGAGAAGAAGGAGGTTGATTCAAAGAGGTCGGAGAACCCGCCTGCGACCGGAGGGGCTTGGAGGGAATGGTGATAGGCGAGTAGCTTGGGGATAATATTTACGCGGTGAGATGAGACTTCGCCGGCTGTGACGAGGAGATCAAGGAGAATTGGTAGCGCGTTGTTGGGTTGCTTCTCAAAACGAAGGGCATAGAGAGCCACTAGGCGCAGCTTATTGTCTGCTGGCACATTTGGCAGCGCGATGATTCGTTGTAGTGACTGGAGAAAAGTGAGTCCGTGAGTAAAGCATCATCAGTTTCACGTTTGAACGTACCCTAAGATCATTGGAGTGGTTATCATTGCATGCCAAGCTCTGCTCCAACTCGCTCACGTCGAGGAGGGTATCCTCACCGACGCGCCGACTGAGTTCACCTACCAGGGTAACGTGCTTGCTGACATTACCTGCCAGCTTGCGGAATTCGGGATAATCCTCCACAAAACGTTTCATGTCCGCAATAGACTCGATATTCGCAGTGCTTTGGGTTTTGGTCTGGTACTGCTCCACATATTCTTTAATGTTCTGGCCCAGATCACCAAAGTTCTGATACATATTTTTCTTGAAGAATGGGTCCTGGTCCTGAGCCAAGACAATCTCTTTCAGTTCTGGTCGGATATCTGGTACATCCTGCAGATCCACGCGGCCATTGTTGATGCCAAGCATCTCATGCACCATCGCCTGGTACGTCCATTGAGTCAGCAACGGCGTAATGGGATCATCGCGGCGGTCAAGAACGAGCAGGATAGGCGGTGTATCCGTCCGGCGGAAGTTAAATAGCTGCTCCTCCTGCGTGATGTGGTATCGGACCTCTGTCGCCAATTTCCGGGCCAATAAACTGTTCTTCTCGTAGCGGATAAGCGGGTTTTTCTTCAAGGCGAGGAGCAGGGCCAGAACCCCCTCCGTGGCTCTTTGTAGTGAATCCGGGTTCCATAAGTCCGGCGATTGACTCCATATCCGTTGCAATGGGAAACCCATACCCAAAGAGCAAAGGTCCGGGTTTATCACAAGGAAGTCGGCAAACTGTTCCTGGACCGACTGGACGACCTCGTGGCTGTCCGCTTCCGCAAGCCGCTCGAGGGCGGATTTGCGGATAATGTTACTAAGGTAGATGTAATATTCGCCGTATTTAGGTTCTCGGAGCTCATCAATCAAAAACTGAATAGAGGTGGGTGATGGTCGCACGAAGCAGAGGCATCGCAGATGTCGCATCTTCTCGCGCGCGGTATTGTCCAAGCGGTCGATTAGGTAGACTTCGTGATTAAGGAGAGCGGATTGGGTAATGGCCGTGGAAACAATAGGGACCTATAACCATAGAAGTTAGCGACCAAATTCAATATATTGCTAGCAGGGTAAAATCACCCACTGTCTCACTATCAAGAAGCAAGATCTTCATCTTTGATGACGACGCTCCTGCCGACTCACCCACGGTAACCATCTTGGAGATGTACCCCGAGGCAGCCGCGACGACGTCCATGGTGGGGAGATCCAATAAATCGAATTGGGTTGAAGTTATCTTAGCTCCTTGATTGAAGCTGTTGAAGCTGTTGAAGACCGAGGGGGTTGAATGTGGAGAGGGCGGGAAGTTGTTGGGGTGGAAATTCCACTTTCCACATGACAAGCTGTTTTTCTTGTCTTGTTTTTTTTTTTTTTTTCTCCTTTGCTTCTTCTTTTCTTCACTCTGATATTTTCTTTACTGTTTTGTCTGTTTTCTTCTCTTTCTACAAGGTCAACAATGTTGCCCTATGTAGATCAGAGTATGTCAACCCCCAAGCTTAAAGCTCCTCGGTCCAACTAACATTTCTCCCCGCAGTATTTGAGGTGCCAGCTCGACTCACTGGCGCATCGACTGATGAGCGTACGATCTTCCATTTCCATAAGCTCCCGACATTGCTAGCAGTTTCTGACTCCCAGCTCCAGTCAAGTTGATCGGCTCGTTCCTTATCTCCTACCCACTGGCCGCCCTCCTCAAACGTATTCCCGATGGCCAACCCTGGAAAAAGAATGCCTTCATTATCGCCGTGTCGATGTTCTATATTGTCGGACTCTTCGATCTTTGGGATGGTCTACGCACCCTACTATACAGTGCCGCGGGCACCTATGCAATCGCCTACTATGTGGATGGATCACTGATGCCATGGATTGGGTTCCTATTTCTCATGGGCCACATGTCGATTAACCACATCGAACGCCAGAGGGCGAACGAGAGCGGGGCCGTTGACATTACTGGAGCGCAGATGGTCCTTGTTATGAAACTTACCTCGTTCTGCTGGAATGTTCATGACGGCCGTCTGCCCAAGGACCAACTCTCGGACTCGCAGAAGTATTCTGCTATTACAAAGTTCCCGAGTATTGTTGACTACCTGGGCTACATCATGTTCTTCCCTTCTCTCTTTGCCGGTCCTTCCTTTGAATATGTGGACTACCGCCGTTGGATCGACACTACGCTTTTCGAAGTCCCGCCTGGCACTGACCCATCCAAGGTGCCACCCACCCGAAAGAAGCGCAAGATCCCTCGCAGTGGAAGACCTGCCGCAAAGAAAGCCGCCGCCGGACTGATCTGGATTTTCGCCTTCATCCAATTGAGCTCATACTTTACCGTCGACTTTGTGCTTTCGGACGAGTTCTTGCAGTATTCCTTCCTGCGTCGCATTTTCAACGTATATATGCTTGGTTTCACCGCTCGCACTAAGTACTACGGCGTCTGGGCTCTGACTGAGGGCGCCTGTATTCTATCCGGCATGGGATACAACAGCTTCGACCCGAAAACAGGCAAGGTCTTCTGGAACCGACTGGAGAACGTTGATCCATGGGCCATGGAGACGGCGCAGAACTCGCACGCTTACCTAGGCAACTGGAACAAGAACACCAACCACTGGCTGCGCAACTACGTCTACCTCCGCGTCACGCCCAAGGGCAAGAAACCCGGCTTCCGCGCCAGCATGGCTACCTTCGCCACCAGTGCGCTCTGGCACGGTTTCCACCCAGGATACTACATGACCTTTGTTTTGGGTTCATTCATCCAGACCGTTGCAAAGAGTAAGCACGACCAAGACATCTCCGTAATCCACCCCCTCCAATAACTAACCTTAAATAGACTTCCGCCGCTACGTGCGCCCCTTCTTCCTTACACCGGACGGCACCAAGCCAACCCCGAACAAGCGCTACTACGATATCCTCAGCTGGCTAGCAACGCAGCTAACCCTCTCCTTCGCCGTTATCCCTTTCATCATCCTCACCTTTGACAAGTCTTTCGCCGTCTGGTCTCGTGTCTACTTCTACGGTATCATCAACTGCGCTGTCTCATTGGTCGCGTTCGCCTCCTTCTCCCCACTCAGAGCCTACCTTGTCTCTCAGCTGAAGCGTCGCAACCGTCCTCATGCCGGTCGCACCACCAGCGCCGACTCCGTGCGTCCGCCCGTCCTCGGCTTGCCGAATGATCCTGAGCGTGACTTTGACGAGGCCGTTGCTGAGATCAAGGCTGAAATTGAGCACCGTGGTAGACGGGGAAGTACGGTTAAGATGCCTACGGGTGAGGAGTTGAAGGCTGCTGTTGAGCAGAAGGTTGGGCGGAAGTTGTAGGTGCCAGTTTTGGTTAAGACTAACTGTGAGTGGTGGATTCATTGGCTAGCAGGGGATTGAAGAGCCGATTTAGATCGGCTTTTAGGTGTTTCCCACTTTGCTATAAAAAAATAATTAGGAGTGTTTCATGGGTTTATGCTTTTTAATGGTGGCTTGGTCGAGATTGGTCTCGTCTAGGTCTGCGGATGTGTCTATAGATTCCAACTTGGAAGGGATGGTTTGGGTTACGGAATAGCAAGCTTTATTTAGATTACAATTACTTCAAAGTAGAGCAGTGAAGAAGTTGATCCTAGCCAAGCAAATTGTGATGCAATATAGAACGCCGAAGAGAAGAGTAAAGTAGCAGAGAACGAGTATGCATATGCGTATGTGGTAAAAAACAGATTCAACTTCAAACTCAAGCAGTAAAAAGCAAAATAACAATAAGCAACAATATATCCGTTGCACGGATGTATAGCAGAAATGCAAACAAAGGCAGTCGCCATGCATAGGAATACTAGCAAACATATGAATCCATAGACGAGTCCGAAGGCAAAAGTTCAAATGCACAGAAAGATGTAAAACAGAAGAGGATATTTATGTGCGTTGAAGTCGTGGAGTCGTTCAGAAGAAATGTGCAGTCAAGGAGAATGCAGAGAAGGAAAAAGAAGAACAATGGTAAAAGGGGAGGCTGAATGAAAAGAGAGAGAAAAAAAATCCAAATCACAGTAAGGATGTATCTGCAGTATTAGTGCAAGGAGAAAAGAAACCAGTCGACTGGTTGAGGGAACTCAACCCCCAAGAAAAAAGAGAAGAAAAGCATCATAGTCTGAAGCAAGCGATGAAAGAAAGTCCAAGTCGTAAGAGCGTAAAAAAGAAAAGATCGCAATAAAACGCAGTCCGAATGCAGTAAATAACCCTAAAAACCCGTGGTAGTCCCAATAACAGCCAACACAATAATAACAACAACAATAACAACTCCAAGGGAAATCATCCATCGATTAAGATTCCTCCACCACCGAGCATTGTCTCTCCTCCTTTGCTGCAAATTAACACACTGAGCCTCAAGCGCCGCACCAACATCCGATCCAGACTCATACTCGACCATCTGCGCCATCTTAGGTTTCGGCGGCAGTGGCAGGAACGCCGCAACACACCATGCAACGGGGAAAATGAACCCCACACAGAATGAATAGACCTGGATATTTCGACGGCCGAAGACAGGCTCGTTGCGAGAGTCGAGAGATGGCGCCCGCCACCGGCTTGTTGAGTGTTGTAGAACACGTCGGTCTGGGATGAGGTGTGGTGACCAGCTGTGTCGGAGACGGTGGAGGTGGTTGCCGGTGAACTCGCCGTCTTCGGGTTGTGGGGAGGGGACCCAGTGGGCGCGTGGATCGCGCGGATCGCTTTCTAGACGGCGTTGAGGGATGGGTTTGCGTTGTGGGGAGGGGGGTCTGTGTTCTGGGGAGCGGGGGCGGGGGATGTTGAGGGGGCCTGGGACGAGGTTGAAGACGCTTGAGTTGGAGGTTCCGGTTCCTGGGCGCGTGGATGGTGGGCGAGTAGATGGTGGACGGGTAGTGTCCATCATGGATAGTGTTGAGTTTAGGCCCATTGGTTCGCGTAGGTAGTAGACTTTTGCCCAGGTTGGGAGGATGCTGAGGATTGTGCTGGTCCCCGTGCCTGGGCGTTGGAGGCTGCGGGTACTGTTGCTGCGGGTACTTTTGCTTCGCTTTGAGCCGGAGGAGAGACTTTGGGAGAAGACTGGGCGGGTGGGGAGCTTGGTTAGACTATCGAGGCGCTCATCTTCGCTGTCGTTGGAGGAGTCGACAAGCCAGACGGAGGATCTGGTTGGCTCTGGACTTAGGGCTGCTGGTGGGGGTGGGGTTGGCTCTGCCATATCGCGGTCTGAATCTGTGTCTGCTTGTCCGGCAAGGTTGGTTAATTCATCGGCGGACCAGATGGAGGAGACTGTTGATAGGTGCGGGTTCCAGCGTCCTGATGCCAAGTGGGGATTGCAACGTCCGGATGGAGGGCCAGGAGTGAAGTCGCGTTCTGATGCAACTGATGTGCCGGCGCGGGAGCTTGAAGACGATGGCACGCGAATACGTGGGTATTGAATAGGCACACCACTGTCGATGGCTGCCTGCAAGTCAGAAGCGGAGCGGAGGCTCCGCGAAGAAGATGTTGCTGATTGGGAACGGCTGCCTGATGGTGCCCTGGATGAGGAGCGGAATGAAGCTATTGATTGCGTGGGTGGGCTGGAGTGGAACGAGGCGATGGACTGTGCGGGTGGGCTGGAGTGGAATGACGGGGATCCATAGCTTGAGTGCTCGGATGAAGCTGGTTGGAAAGCATTTTGGAACCAGGGTGCAGAGCCGACATGCCTGACGACGGTGCCTCGTGAGTTATACGAGGAGAGGGAATTTGTTCGCGGATCTGAGTCGGATGCTGTAGCGGAACTGTGGAAGTTCATGCTCGAGTTATCCAGCATAACAAAGTTGGGACTTGACGGGGCCCCGAGTTGTTCCACGACAGGGCTGGAGTAGCCAGTGACGGACTCGGCAGAGGACTTTGGCGACATGGATGGCTCAGAGATGACAGCTTTGATAGTTGGTGTGGTCGTCGGCAAGACCATCATCTCGTCATCCGAGTACTCGGGTTCTGAGCTCTCGGACCCATAGTCTGGTGCTTTCCCCGTGCCTGGCAGCGACGACTTGCTGGAGGATGGGTCATCGTCCCACAACGGCGGAGGCGAGTTGCCGGTATCCACGGTGGAGGATACATCCCAGCTCTCACCAATGGAGTGGTCTCTGGGGCTGTTGGGTGCCGGTTGAGTGAAGGCCGGTGGGGAATATGCTGACGATCCTAGGTGGTGATCTGAATAGCTAAACCCGGTGTCTGATATGTATTGTTGTTGTCCTTTGCCGGGGAGAGGTAACAGGATCTGCTCGGGTTTGGTCGGGAATGGGGTCGCAGTGTACATATCAAGCTCTTCGTTCGGCACCATGCGCAATGACTGGGTTGGTGATCTTTCGTTTGAGTGAGAGGGGGTACGCTCGTGCAATGCCCTTCGCGCGCGTGGCGAGTTCGACCGCGCGGTAAAAGACATTATTTGGACCTTATCGCATTGGTTGGAAAATAAAGCAACGGCGAAGGTTGTCAGGTGTCAACCCAGATGTAAACAAGATATCAGAAAGAGTGGATTGTTCAATGTTGTTGTTTTTCGAGTATTCAAGGTAAGGAATGTGGTACCCTTCGATATGGGTAGTTTTCTATAGGCTGATGTTCATCAAAAGAGCGTGGGTAGACGTGCAGAGGTTCGTCAATTAGTCCGTTTCAAACAAAGGCTATTAAAGAGCGACAGAAAAACAATCATTAGAACGTTTCAAAACAAAAAAGGGACACAAAAAGCACAGGAGTAAGAAGCCCGAGAAGCAGAACTTGAGACACTGGATGAAGGGGGGAGGATTTTTGTTGGCCAGCGGTGAGCGTCTAAGCAAGTGAGATTCAATTGAGCCAGACCGCAGGGGTTGATGCAAGCTGCATGGGCTGGTAGGCTGAAAAGCGTTGATAAATCGGTGGCTTTGGCTGATTGGTCAAGATGAGAGCAAAAGTACTGGACAAATTCTTTTTTTTTCTTCTTTCAGGGTGTTCATGAGTTGTTTATTTCTTATATTGGACTTGATACCTGGGCTATCATGTTTTAATATACAAAATCCATATTAATGCGGAGTATCAGTCAATTGAGAACCACAATTGACTCCTTCAAACGTGTTTGCTCATTTAATCGCGTATTTTAGGTGGATCCTGTGTGCGTTGTCCCTGATCCTGATGAACTGCCACTAGTTTATAGCGTCAAGGGGCCGAACAGAGCAGAACAATATATGCTCAATGTCAATAGTGTCTCCTCGTGATCGGAGAATAGATGCCCACGATCCCTCGCATTTGACTCACATCTGAAAACTCGGCCTCAAGGGGTGAGAACTATTTTTTTTTTCCCGATTTAGCACGGTCCACTAGTTCGAATCAGGTTTTGACATTTTAAGGAGGTCAAGGTGAAACCAACCTTGTTTATACCTTGTTTATATCCGAGATAGATATCCAGAGATATAGAATGGAATAACTGTCGCGATCACAAAGAACAATCGTAAGAATTGGCATTGATTCCCCTGTATCCATATGACAGTACCATACTGTATTGTACTGTTTCCAACCAATAACCAAATTTTTCTCTGTACGGAAGGAACAAAGAACCCAGGCCGTTCCTTTCTCTCTCAACCATAAAAGAGACAAATAGTCTCCCCCAACTCTGCATATGGCGCCAGTGGGGATAATGAGTCGACTCAAGAGTCTGTACTCCAAGCAGGGTAAGTCAGGGGCAAACCATCCAAAGAGTCTCAACTAACGCGACCCCAGATGAACCTGCCCTGTCAGAACAGACGGTCGCTTTTCTGTCTGTATGTAGAACTCCTAGAACAGAAGAAAAAAAGAAAAAACACACTTCACTCGACGTCCTCGTATCTAACTCCCCATTCAGGTCATCCTCACACTACTCTATGTGGTGCCATTCTATCTCTCGCCAACCACGCGCCCATCCCCAACTCTCAGTCGGGATGCCCCGTCCGTGATTCGCGCCCGCATCCGTGTAGTCACAGGCTCCTGTATTGTGGGCTCAGTCTTCGTCCTCTGGCTCATCGTCGAGGAAGGGAATTCCTCCCTCGGCGCCGGTACTAGACTCCTCGGTTGGTGGCCCGTCGGTGTGCTAGAGACCCTTCGGAGTCTTCTCCTAACCGCGATTCTGTTCCTGGGCCCGCTCTTTGAGCGTGGCATTGTTGAGGGCGAATGGAAGTTTTGGTTCCGTCCTAGTAAGCTCTCCGAGAGTCTCGGTGGCTGGATTGGCTGGAGGAATTATGTCGCGGTATGCACCTACATTTGCATCTTTTTGTTGGCGTTTGGGGGGGTTTTCCCTGTTTCGTCAAACCCAATCTAATATCCTCCCAGGGTCCCTTCACAGAAGAAGTCATGTTCCGATCCGCGATGGTCCCGCTGCATTTGCTAGCACACACCTCGCCGGGCCGAATTGTGTTCCTCGCACCGCTGTATTTCGGTATCGCGCATGTGCACCACTTCTATGAGTTCCGTCTGACGCATCCGGATACACCAGCTCTGGCTGCGCTGCTGCGGTCGCTCTTCCAGTTCGGATACACGACTATCTTCGGCTGGTATGCGACTTTCGTCTATTTGCGGACGGGCTCGTTGCTAGCCGTTGTTCTCATCCATAGCTTCTGTAACTGGTCTGGATTGCCACGATTCTGGGGGCGTGTTGAGGCTAGTGAACCTATCGGTCCCCCTGTGACGAGAGGAAAGGAGGATTCTGGTGATTGTATCGGGGTTCGAGGTAATGGTGGTTTGGGTGTTGGGTGGACGATTGCTTATTATGTGCTTCTTGTTGCCGGGGCGCTTGGTTTTGCTCGGGGTTTGTGGCCTTTGACCGAGTCCTACCATGCTCTAGTTTCGTTTTCGGGGAAGTCGAACTAGATTGGGTATGACTTGTGATCTCCGTCTTGCCTGATCTATTTTGGTTTGCTTCCGGCATATTCTTTCGCGGGGCTGTTATATTTGGTGTTCTGTTGCATCTGTCATGAACCAGATCTGGAGACCCATGTATGTAAAATGGGGGATCCTGACGCCATTTCTAAGTTATGTATACCTCGACTATAATCTAGTATTCATTGCAGACTACACTGGATTCCGAGCATCGCAGGCCAATGAAACTACCGTGGCGGATGTAGATGTTGTAAATATTATTGGTTATCAGAATGGAGAAAAAGAAAAAAAAAAAAGAAAAAGGGCCCGAGCCCGGGATTGAACCGGGGACCTCGCGCAATAATGCTTTGGGTGAACCCTAAGCGCGAATCATACCACTAGACCACCCGGGCGAATTGATATGAGATTGCTCAAAATTTGGCAACATGAGAGAGCTCTTCTTTTTACAACCTAACGGAATTTCAAAATCGCGCCGAGGTGAGGGCCTTGCCCCTTCTATCCCTTAAAACAACCTGAAAGGCACCTCTAACGCTACCGTCTAAGACTCCTGCTCTATTGGTGTCGTAGTCAAGCCTGTACGTAATATAACCAGCCGCAAAAACTAGTAAAACCCCCGGATTGTATGACCAAGCCATCTAGTATGTCAAAATATATAACCTGATACAGTGAGTATATTTAAACATATTTTACTTAAAAACCCCGTATACCATTCCCCTACGCCGAGAATACCAGTCAACCCACAGTAATTAACATCCCCTAGGATAGTTTCAATGCTCACAACAACTCCTGCATCGAAGCAAAGCTAGTCGTGCTCCCTAGTCCCAGTCCGGTCTACATATAAAGTCGTACTAAATTACCAGAGTGTAAGTCAACGATATTAGTTGATTTAGCACCTACCTAAAAGGTAGTCAAGGAGCAAGAGCAAGCCGATTCAGTTGCGGTATAGAGCTTTCATATATGGCGTGCAAATGCCAAAAGACTTGCTCCAGGGAAGAAAAGCACAGTAACACCACACATATACTTGGCAAGGGTAGTTCTCATTCTCACACCATTTTCACCTAGGTCGCGATGCTGAAGCAGTGCTCACCTATTTCTCACTGGGACACCTAACTATGGCACACAAGAAAGCCCCACGCTAGCGAGTTGGTAGGCTATGTAACCCGCACTTTGTGTTATGTTGATTCATAGCCTAAATAAAATAGCATGACTACATAAATTGATTCAATTTACCCAAGTAGTAATTATTTATTTCCCTTATATAGGCAAATTTTGAACCACATAATATCAATTGGCCCGGGTGGTCTAGTGGTATGATTCGCGCTTAGGGTTCACCCAAAGCATTATTGCGCGAGGTCCCCGGTTCAATCCCGGGCTCGGGCCCATCCTTTCTTTTTTTGTTTTTTTCCAGTCCTTTTAGTCCCCCTTCCGTCCTCTTGCTTGTTGTATATGGAGAGGAATAGGGAATATATTGTCATAAGCCCTCAACAAGGTCGAGGCTTACCTGGCCGTCTATTTGATCTCAAATACCGATTTGTGATACAAGCATATACGGGCTCTCACCTTAATATGCGGTCTACCGCCCGAGATATAGATCCAGCTGCTTAACTACTCGGATATCTCTCGTCTTCCGACTTCTATACAAAATCTAAAGAGATCTACTAGTTGTGGGCGAAGGCGATAAACGATTTTATTTTATTAGGTCTTTACATATAAAGTGTAGGTACCTGCTGTCTTGGTATATTGCATGGGGAGTTTAACGTAAAAACAGTGTGTATAATTAGAAGGCGGCAAGGAGAGAGGTAGACAAGAGCAGGTATCAAGGTATCTTTTGTACTTTTTTTAATACTTCGTATGATAACCCCGTACAAAATGTACCTAATTTCAAAATTTATTGTTCACTGGGAATTATCGTTAACTGGGGCGCACCAACACAGGAAGGTGTGCTGGGCGTTTGGCACGGTTAGTACATATATCTTTTTATATCTCTGCTTAGTCTATTATTGGATATGCTGTGTCTAGTTATGTACCTTATGGTTAACTAGTTATGTATTATAGTTACCGTATAAAAAAAAACAATTTCACAATTTAGCACCGGTGGGCCACCAACACTAGGTACAACATACGTATGTGTTGGTTTGTTTGCCACGATTAACACCTATGTATGTATTAAGGATGAGGCTGTACGGCATTTATTTATTTAAAATATAAATAAAAAAAGGATGGGCCCGAGCCCGGGATTGAACCGGGGACCTCGCGCAATAATGCTTTGGGTGAACCCTAAGCGCGAATCATACCACTAGACCACCCGGGCCAATTGATATTAGACGCTCAAAATTTGTTTATATGAGGGAAATGACTAAGTCAGTATGTATCACAACTTTTAAGTATACCCAGTCAACAATAAATTTTGAATTTAGGTACCTTTCATATGGGCTTGTCGTACAAAAAGGTACATAGGCCACAAAACTGATAGTCTCCATTTTCGTCAACCCTTGAACTAGCTAAAAAGATACTAAAAAGACAAAAAGATAAATAATACTGGTATTATAATATAAGTTTGATTGAATCGTTCTGCTACCAGCATCAATTCTAAATAATTAGTGTAAAGGTGAGAGATGCGATAAAAAAATACTAGTGTTACATTTTTTATGATAGCTTAGCCCATACAAAACTTCAAGGTACCTAATTTCAAAATTTATTGTTGACTGGGCATTGTCGTTGACTGGGACGCACCAACACACTTGGCACTATTATACGATGGCACGATTATACGATAGAACTACGGTTTCTAATGAACCTCTATAATTTATTTAACGCCTTGAATCCACCAAATTTTATATATTTAAATTATATTTTGTATAGTCTAAGCTATATCTACTATGTATCCTTAAAATAATTCAAATATATTCATTGAAGGCCTATAAGCGGGCCCTAAACATGCTATGGTACGTCTATTTGCACTATTTATTAAAGAATAGGCCCCCACAAATAGGTTAGGTTTTGAGCATCGTGGGCTCTCCGGAAGCCTAGCGGTACCCTACCTATATGCTGCTTTTCCTTATATAGACATATTTTGAAACGTTTAATATCAATTGGCCCGGGTGGTCTAGTGGTATGATTCGCGCTTAGGGTTCACCCAAAGCATTATTGCGCGAGGTCCCCGGTTCAATCCCGGGCTCGGGCCCATCCTTTTTTTCTTTTTTCCAGTCCTTTTTAGTCCCCCCTCCGTCCTCTTGCTTGTATAACGAGAGGACTAGGGACGGGACCATATTATTTAAACCCTCCATCTAATAAGTCGAGGCTAGGTATAGCCGTTATATTTAATTTTAAACACCGATTTGTGATGTAAGCATATACGGACTCCCACCTTAATATGCGGTCTACCGCCCGAGATATGGATCCAGCTGCTTAACTACTCGAATACCTCGCCTTTCGACTTCCATAAAAACTCAGCGAAATCTACTAGCCTCGTGGGCGAAGATGACCCAATAGCCGTAATAGCGGAAACCCCTAAGTCCACGCCGACTGTATTTTGCTCTAAAGTCGATGGCTAAGAAGGTGGTATTCAGAGATTATGAAAAGACTAGTTGGGACTGCAGAGATGTCGATGTAAGTTCCAGAGGCAAGGAATATTTCCCCTCACATTGGCAGATACCGACCTTAATTGTGTGGAAGTTGCTATCCTAAGCCAATCTTTACATGAAGTCCTTAGCTCTGGCCTCTAGATCGATCTTCTATTCTTACGACGAGAGCTACAAACGGACAGGTTATGCGGCAATATGGGAATACCTCCCATTGTTGCATCGACAGTACATATTCCACCAAAAGCCTGTGGCTAATGAAACTGCCCTCACGAGTGAGTTTCATCTCGGAACTAGACAGTGAGCGAAGTAGTTACTAGGGCGAGGTTGCCGAGGAAAACGCAAACCCATACTATCATATTGGGGTAAGCACCAGTTATGTACGCTGATCTCCCGTTAATGGCCGGGCTCCAAAATCTGCTGGACAGCTATCATCATTCAAAACAATGCCGGCTCATTGTAGTATCCATATATTGCAACTTTTAACTCGTCAGCCAAAACATTGGGAACTTTACAACCACGATGATGAAAGCACATAATATTGTAATACCTTGGATGATAGAAGCATTCACGCGGAACAAGTTGACATGTAATTGGTTGAGTTTCTTGACCCTGCTAGGAGGAGCCTGATTCTGAAATCCCCTTTGCCTGCGTGTCCTTCCGTGGGTGATTGACTAACACTCTTCATAAGCGTTAACCAGCTCAGATAGCTCAAATTTCCTATTCCGATCTTCCTGTCCGATGGAATGGGAGTATGTCATATGGAAATCAGGTGGCATGGATGAGATGGAGTCAAGGAAATAATATCGAGCATTATTATCGCCTGCTTGGATCAATCCTGTCCTTGCACAGCCCCTTTGAATAGTCTCCCAACCCAACAACTATTTGTTGATGTCGGTGTTCTTATGTAGCCCTCGGTCTTGATCCCTCCATTGCTGGCACAGCTTAGCAGCATATGCTGATGTTGGATCGCACGGACTCATAGCATAATCCTGCGAGTACAATGTATGATGAATTCAGTGACTCTCTAAAATGATCAACAGACCGCGGGAGAACGCCTGTACGACGAAGTATAATGATGAATTCAGTGACATGAAAACTCTCTAGCAAAACAGACAGGATAAACGCGCGAATTCAAAGGGACAAAATAACTCAACAATGCAGGACTGGACGCCGGTCGTGTGTTAATCTGGATATTTGAAATTTATTGATAGCACATTTGTTTTGTTCGTTTTCTTTCCCCTTGAAAAGCCAGAAAGAAACCGGATGAGAAGACAAAGCTCTATGCGATACCTAGCAGAAATAATATACAAATCTATCCAAGATAGTAATACAAATCCCACATCTAATATGGATACAGAAAGGGAACTCAGAAAACAACATTGACAAGCTTACCTCCCTTGACAACAA